TACCATCATCAATTAACTGACTAATTGGTCCGTGGGCAAAAAGTCCATCCAATCTGCCAAATTTGTGTTCAGAAAATTTCATATTTGAAAATGGGACAGAATTTTGAAAATACAACTTTTTGTTTTGTTAAGCTTTCTGCTGTGGGCTTCCTCTGACTTCAATCAGACTTCCAGCACCTCAATCGTGTCATTTGCCATCTATAGTTGACCTACTAATTGGTTGCGGGTGAAAAAATCAGTCAAAACTGTAAAATTTCGGTCCTGGAAATTTCATCTTCAAAAACTGAAAATGGGAACGAGATTGGGGATAATATGATTTTGCAAATTTATTCGGAATTTTGACTCCCAGTACCCCAATTTGGTTTTATACCATCATCAATTAACTGACTAATTGGTCCGTGGGCAAAAAGTCCATCCAATCTGCCAAATTTGTGTTCAGAAAATTTCATATTTGAAAATGGGACAGAATTTTGAAAATACAACTTTTTGTTTTGTTAAGCTTTCTGCTGTGGGCTTCCTCTGACTTCAATCAGACTTCCAGCACCTCAATCGTGTCATTTGCCATCTATAGTTGACTTACTAATAGGTTGCGGGTGAAAAAATCAGTCAAAACTGTAAAATTTCGGTCCTGGAAATTTCATCTTCAAAAACTGAAAGTGGGACAGAGATTGGGGACAATATGATTTTGCAAATTTATTCGGAATTTTGACTCCCAGTACCCCAATTCGGTTTCATACCCTCATCAATTAACTGACTAATTGGTCCATGGGCAAAAAGTCCATCCAATCTGCCTAATTTGTGTTCAGAAAATTTCATATTTGAAAATGGGACAGAATTTTGAAAATACAACTTTTTGTTTTGTTAAGCTTTTTGCTGTGGGCTATTTCCGACCTCAATCAGACTTCCAGCACCTCAATCGTGTCATTTGTTATCTATAGTTGACCTACTAATTGGTTGCGGGTGAAAAAATCAGTCAAAACTGTAAAATTTCGGTCCTGGAAATTTCATCTTCAAAAACTGAAAATGGGACAGAGATTGGGGATAATATGATTTTGCAAATTTATTCGGAATTTTGACTCCCAGTACCCCAATTTGGTTTTATACCATCATCAATTAACTGACTAATTGGTCCGTGGGCAAAAAGTCCATCCAATCTGCCAAATTTGTGTTCAGAAAATTTCATATTTGAAAATGGGACAGAATTTTGAAAATACAACTTTTTGTTTTGTTAAGCTTTCTGCTGTGGGCTATTTCCGACCTCAATCAGACTTCCAGCACCTTAATCGTGTCATTTGTTATCTTATAGTTGACCTACTAATTGGTTGCGGGTGAAAAAATCAGTCGAAACTGTAAAATTTCGGTCCTGGAAATTTCATCTTCAAAAACTGAAAATGGGACAGAGATTGGGGACAATATGATTTTGCAAATTTATTCGGAATTTTGACTCCCAGTACCCCAATTTGGTTTTCTACCATCATCAATTAACTGACTAATTGGTCCGTGGGCAAAAAGTCCATCCAATCTGCCAAATTTGTATTCAGAAAATTTCATATTTGAAAATGGGACAGAATTTTGAAAATACAACTTTTTGTTTTGTTAACCTTTCTGCTGTGGACTTCCTCTGACTTCAATCAGACTTCCAGCACCTCAATCGTGTAATTTGCCATCTATAGTTGACTTACTAATAGGTTGCAGGTGAAAAAATCAGTCGAAACTGTAAAATTTCGGTCCTGGAAATTTCATCTTCAAAAACTGAAAGTGGGACAGAGATTGGGGACAATATGATTTTGCAAATTTATTCGGAATTTTGACTCCCAGTACCCCAATTTGGTTTTATACCATCATCAATTAACTGACTAATTGGTCCGTGGGCAAAAAGTCTATCCAATCTGCCAAATTTGTGTTCTTAAAATTTCATATTTGAAAATGGGACAGAATTTTGAAAATACAACTTTTTGTTTTGTTAAGCTTTCTGCTGTGGGCTTCCTCTGACTTCAATCAGACTTCCAGCTCCTCAATCGTGTTATTTGCCATCTATAGTTGACTTATTAATTGGTTACGGGTGAAAAAATCAGTCAAAACTGTAAAATTTCGGTCCTCGAAATTTCATTTTCAAAAACTGAAAATTGGACAGAGATTGGGGACAATATGATTTTGCAAATTTATCCGGAATTTTGACTCCCAGTACCCCAATTTGGTTTTATACCATCATCAATTAACTGACTAATTGGTCTGTGGGTAAAAAGTCCATCCAATTTGCCAAATCTGTGTTCAGAACGCCAAGGCGTTTGACAAAGTGGATCTCAACATTCTTCTAGCTAAAGCCAAACGCTACGGTATCACGGGCAAAACTCTACAGTGGCTTGCTGAGTTTTTAAAGAATCGCCTGCAGACAGTGGTCGTCGAAGGAGAAAAGTCGTCCTTCCAGATTGTGATAAGTGGTGTCCCACAGGGAACTGTGTTAGGTCCAATCTTGTTTATTCTGTATATAGATGACCAACTGGACACGTTATTAACTGCTCTTGGAAAGGTCTTTGCTGATGACACGAAGCTTATAAGCAAAATTACTGATTTAGTAGCAAGGTGTTTGCTTCAAGAAGATCTGTTTAATGTCATCAAATGGGCCCTGCAAAATAACATGCAGCTAAACGAAACCAAATTTGAAGTTATCAACTACAAGCTGAATAAATCCCTGCTATTGAGAGAACTCCCCTTCTCCAACGAAGACTACAGCTATAGCTCAACAAACGGGGAAATTATCGAACCAACGCAAACAGTCAAAGACCTTGGAGTACTCCTCTCAAATGACTGCTCATGGACGCCCCATATCCATCAGATGCTGAAAACTGCTAAGAAAATGGCATCGTGGGTCTTCAGTGTCTTCAGTGACAGATCACCTTTCCTGATGCTCACCCTTTTCAAAACAATGGTGAGGAGCAGGCTAGAATGCTGTTGCCCGGTCTGGAACCCCAGCAAAATCACCGATATAGAGGCAATCGAAAATGTTCAGAGGAACTACACTCGCCGTATCTTAGGTTGTCAGCAATTGGACTATTGGGACCGTCTTAAGAAGCTGGACCTGCTCTCCCTGCAGAGGCGGAGAGAGCGATACATCCTGATCCATACATGGAAGATGGCAAACGACCTTGCTCCAAATGACATCAACATGGTATTCAAGGAAAACGCTCGACATGGCATAAAAGCCATAGTCCCACCACTGAACAACAAATCGCAACGATCAGTCGCCACTCATTACGAAAATTCCTTTCGAGTGAATGCAGCGAGACTATGGAACCTCCTCCCACGACAAGTGAACAGTTTAACTGCTCTAGGACCCTTCAAGATATCACTTGCTCGATTTTTGGAGACGTTTCCCGATACCCCGCCAACCAAAGGATACACCGCCATCACCAACAACTCACTCCTGGAATGAAATCTACAGAAAGATCTGAACCAGGAATGAATGGAGGACGTACTAGTTACTGTTGTCCAGAAGCAATCCCTGCCAAACCAACCTAAAGTACCTAAAGTAAGTATATTTGAAAATGGGACAGAATTTTGAAAATACAACTTTTTGTTTTGTTAAGCTTTCTGCTGTGGGCTTCCTCCGACTTCAATCAGACTTCCAGCACCTCAATCGTGTCATTTGCCATCTATATAGTTGACTTACTAATTGGTTGCGGGTGAAAAAATCAGTCAAAACTGTAAAATTTCGGTCCTGGAATTTTCATCTTCAAAAACTGAAAATGGGACAGAAATTGGGGACAATATGATTTTGCAAATTTATTCGGAATTTTAACTCCCAGTACCTCAATTTGGTTTTAAACCATCATCAATTAACTGACTAATTGGTCCATGGGCAAAAAGTCCATCCAATCTGCCAAATTTGTGTTCAGAAAATTTCATATTTGAAAATGGGACAGAATTTTGAAAATACAACTTTTCGTTTTGTTAAGCTTTCTGCTGTTGGCTATCTCCGACCGAAATCAGACTCGCAGCACCTCAATCATGTCATTTGCAATCTATAGTTGACTAACTAATTGGTTGCGGGTGATAAAATCAGTCAAAACTGTAAAATTTCGGTCCTAGAAATTTCATCTTCAAAAACTGAAAATGGGACAGAGATTGGGACAATATGATTTTGCAATTTTATTCGGGATTTTGACTCCCAGTACCTCAATTCGGTTTCATACCATCATCAATTTACTGACTCTTTGGTCTGTGGGCAAAAATTCCATCCAATCTGCCAAATTTGTGTTTTCAGATTTTCATACTTGAAAATGGAACAGAAATTAGAAAATACGAATTTTTGTTTTGTTAAAGTGTTAAGCTATCTGAAAACAATTTCTCTAGCATCAGTCCAAATTCTATCGAATCATGCCTCTAACAGTAACAGCCTCTTATTCTTATGAGCTTCAAGTGCCTGGTATGATCTTTGTGCTTTGGCTAGCCTGGTATTTGTAATTAATAAACATTTTAGGATGTCCATGAATTTAGTTACATATGTAATTGTAATTCGAAGACCAAAAGGTTAGGTTTCCCACTTACTCTATAAAAGTATACCTTAATTCCCAAAAATTTGGGTGACAAAAAATTTGAGCGGGCCTCTCGCCCAAATTTTTTGCAGACCAAATAAATTGCATAAATCTTTTCCGTCTGCTAAATTTTTTGCTAACCAAACTTTTGGCATTTAGCCTGTGGCCCTGAGATCTATAGAAAGATGGCTTTTTCTTCATATCCAAGTGAAATAATATTTGAAATTTTAGTTTTCTAATCTGTCATTCATGGCTTAACCAAGTGAATCGACAGATTTCACTAAAAATGAACGATTTTTAGTGGAAAATCGTTCATTTTTCGAAGAATTTGTGCCCAAATTTTTGGTCGCCCAAATGAGTTCAAATTTTCTGCCCAAATTTTTCGGGCTCAAATAAATTGTGCTCAATATAATGGCACACAAATTTTTGGGAACTAAGGTATATCACATTTTAATTAATACTTACAGTCGAATAGTGAGGATTGTTGACAGGAGAAATGTATTCTGTTGATGTCATTGAAAGTGTCTTTGTAGGAAACAGATACGCAAGTATCCTCGTTAACCTGAAATATTTTTAGGAGGACTGTCACAAACTTGAGAAATTTGTTAGTATTTGCTACATGTTGCACAATATCTGATATGATCCCTTTTGCCGGCTGTTAAAAGGCCATCGCGCAAAAAATAAATGTTGTAAAAACTAACAATGTATTCTATTTTCATGATTAGAGTACAGAATAAAGATTGTATTTGTAGGAATAGGTTAAAACTATATAACCGGGTGTAAAACTTACAGCCGAAAAAAAAAGAAGAAAAAAAAGGAACTGAAAACTAACCTTGCATTCCGCAAGAGGGCAGGATTCCACGATCACCGTGCCTCCTCCAACCAGTTTAACATACCTCGTCCTACCCCCACTGGTTTCTTTGTAACAGGAATCGTAACAAATCAAACCGCCCGGGTTCTGCTCGGCTGTGGGAAATATTACAAATATTCATGTGTGTGACGTATGATCGTCCATTAAGATCAGGAGCGTCTAAAATCCGGATTATTTATGAGTCGCATTGTTGAAATGTTTTTTTGGGTAAATTTCTATTGATCCCGTTTGATGCGACAAGGCCAGGAAAAGGTTTTTTCCTTGTCGCATCAAACGGGATCAATAGAAATTTACCCAAGAAAACATTAAAAAAGGAGCGTGTTCATTATACTTAACTAATAATTAAAGTTTGATCTCAGATGAATAAGAAGGACTATAATTAATAATTAATAAAGGATTGAGAACGATCAAAATAAGATAAATAACTGCAAACACTTGGGCTTACTATAAAGATAAGGTAGTTATAATTAAATAAGTTATAATTAAATAAGTTATAATTAAATAAGTTATAATTAAATAAGTTATAATTAAACAAGTTATAATTAAACAAGTTACAATTAAATAAGTTATAATTAAATAAGCTATAATTAAATAAATTATAATTAAATAAGTTATAATTAAATAAGTTATAATACTAATAGGGCTAGACTCTTCATTACAGTTCACGTACCAGCTTCGTTACTATTCACACAGGTGTTAGGAAGGGCAAGCGTCTTGAAAGTGGCTGTGCAAGTCAATATCAAGTGTGTGAACTCGGTCTTAACCACGGTGTGATCTGTAACATACTTTATTATAACTAATTAATTAATTAAAGTACGCTCATTAAATAACTAATTAATTAATTTAAGTATTAGCTAATTAGGTTCTACTTATATATTAGTATTACTCGGTCTTAACCACGGTGTGATCTGTAACATACGGATAACAGTTTTACAATTATGGGTAAATTATAACTCTGCAACTTTACAATTTATGAGAAAGATTAGGGGTCGTTTACATATCACGTAATCAATTTAGTAATAATCACCGTCGTCAATACACTGCAGGATAATTTGATCCCCGGCGACAACTCTATTTCCAGCGTCCAACAAGGAATTTGTTTCAACCATCTCGTAGTAAGACTGCACTGTAGCAGGGATCTCACACACATCTGTGAAAGAGAGAGAGACTTAAAGTTAAGGGGAAAATCAAAACCAATTTAGTGATTATAATTACATCTCTAATTATTTTGAGATGGACGTTACAAAGGGTTCTGATTTTAAGAAGAAATGGTCGAGGGGGTTGAGTTTGGATTGATATGTAACAAAATGTATGCGGCAGGAAATACTATAAAGTACAATATTATGTATAATGAACACCTCCGCTGTGCGGGGGGGGGGGGGGGGGGGGGGGGGGGGGTGGGGCACAATCTTAGGGGGGCGTACTATAACGTACAATAGGCTAACGTGTCCGCAAGCAATAAAAAGTACAATATTATGTATAATGAACAACTCCAGATGAGTCCATGCTGTACCACGTGGGACACCACGTGGTTTGTGACGTCACAAGATGACCCACCTACACATAGATCCACACTATTGCTGCCAGTATCAGTGGTATTCTTATCTCCCGGGCATGGTGTGCAATCTACATTAGCTTTCGTGTCGGAGTAAGTGTTCAGTGGACATATCAGGCACTGCTGGATGCTGGTGTCCGCGTATAACCTGGGGTTAATACCACGTGTTAGAGAGGTGAGATAGCATGCTCCTTCATAATATTTTGCATCATTTCTCAAAAAAGTCACACTTTCTGAGGTACACCATGCAGATTCTATATGCTATCGTTGGCAACCCAGGTCCAACCTCTCTCTAGAATGGAGCTGTGAAACTAGAGTAATGTGAGATATTGAAAGTAAACTTACCCTGCTAGAATGGAGCTGTGAAACTAGAGTAATGTGAGATATTGAAAGTAAACTTACCCTGCTAGAATGGAGCTGTGAAACTAGAGTAATGTGAGATATTGAAAGTAAACTTACCCCGCTAGAATGAAGCTGTAAAACTAGAGTAATGTGAGATATTGAAAGTAAACTTACCCTGCTAGAATGGAGCTGTGAAACTAGAGTAATGTGAGATATTGAAAGTAAACTTACCCTGCTAGAATGGAGCTGTGAAACTAGAGTAATGTGAGATATTGAAAGTAAACTTACCCCGCTAGAATGAAGCTGTAAAACTAGAGTAATGTGAGATATTGAAAGTAAACTTACCCCGCATAACACTCCTGGCAGGTAGTATCTATGTTGGGAACCTGCCCCGGGTCACACCCTTTACTCGACACATCCTCCACATCTGCGTTTTCGAAATCACTCTCGTCGAACTGTGAGCTGATTGACACGAGGAGGGCCACGAGGACGAACCAATAGTTTAGTTGCTTTTGCATCTTTGTGGGCAGGTGTTTATGTTTTCTTGGAGATCACAGCAATTGATCTTAGTTGAGGGTGTTTATAAGCGTTTATATCTGGACTAGAATTAATCGGTTTAAAAATGCGTTGGATTGTTTAATTATTAAATTAATTGCTTATGAAATAGTGGCGTTGGATTTTTTAGTCTAAATTTGAACAGCAACGTATTTATTTAACAAACATGGGTGAACAAAAACTCAGTTAAACGATCAAACTCTAAAATCTTATCGGAAGGAAAACTTTACTTATGCAAACAAAATTAAAAGTAGAACGGTAAAAATGACAAACAAAACCTAATTAACAGTACTAATACGATGCTCGTGCAATCAACTTCGTGCAATGATTGCGTTCTGCAGTTGTAGTAAAGTGAGTATACCTTACAGAAGCTACAACAAGCGAGATTATGAAAGTTCTAATACATAATAGGTTGCTTGTGACCAAATGTACTTCCTTGCTGAAAATAACAGGTGAACATGGTTTCCAATACAGATCTAGGGTACAGTAAAAGATGCCTAACACAACTGTGTTTTGCTCTAGAAACACACTCTTTTATAAATTTTACCGGCGTATCCTATAAAATCACCTAATTTGTTCAAATTTAGGGAGGGGCACCAAAAGGGGAGGGGCGCCAACAGGGGGTCGCATTTTCGGCGGGGGGGGGGGGGGGGGCACCAACAGGCAACGTTAATATTAACGCCAATGAATAGTCAATAACAGTGGTCACATAGCACCTGCACAATAACCTGTCCTTTAATATTGGAGACAATGGTAAAGTTTGGAAGTACATTACATTGTTGGCTAGAAGTAGAACAATAAATTATTAACTGTCAACGAATCACCGCCTGTTAATGTTATTATGGGGGGTTGGCCTTATCGTAATTAAGATTGCTAATACCATGCTAAAGGATGAAAATTACTGTACTAAAACTAAAGGCACCCTGCTGAAAAGTTATAAACTGACGGCTCTTAAAGCTTTAAAGCAAAATATTTGCATCAATGAAGAAACAAAGGTCAAAGAAAACAAAAGTCATCAAGTCTGAGCCAATGATCGAGCGATATCGAGTGTACTGCTAAATAGATTATACATATCACAGTTAGAGTAAACAACCTCTCTAGGAACTAGAAAACTATAAGATACGTCACTGAGAACTATTTGGTAGGAAGTAAAACTTCACTGTCACTGACTAGTATTCAGAGGCAGTGCAGAAACCTTCAAAATTAGAATTTGTGACGTTACGTAAGCAAACTTACTAATTTTCGTAATTCCTACTAATACGTTATTTGGAAGGTAATTTAAAAAGCTGAAATAACGGGAGGCCAGCTTAAATTAGGGCCCCCTAATATAACTATAAGGGCTAAAAGTTCAGTAAACTATACTTTTGGAGAGAGTAGGAGAAACTTTCACTCTAAGTTTAAAAGTTATTTATGTATTTATTGAGCTGAACTGCCATGAAGCACTATTTGATAAGAAAGCATGAAAAGTCAATTTAAAGGTACACGCACTAAATTCCAACTAGAACTCAATTCCAACGGTGCACTTAATTCCAACTAGCACTTAATTCCAACGGTGCACTTAATTCAAACTAGCACTCAATTCCGATACTAATTAGGAGAAAGTGCGTACGGAATTCTGACAGTGCACGGAATCCCAAAGCAGCGAACGTTATCCGGACTCAATACCTGTAACCTGACTATTTGACCGACTAGACACTGCAGCTTTTATTTTCAAATTCTGTTTGAGCTTGCGAGGTTCAGTTTCTGCAATCTTCGTGGGAGTGGGTATGGGGTAGGAGAGGGTGAAACTAGCTGTTAGTGTTGGCCGAAGGTAATGACTGGTCAGATCACAGCACTTGAAACCGGGCATGGTTGCATAAAACAACACGCATCAAGTCGATTAAAGAGCATCTCTGATTCACATTACCTTTCATAGTCTACCATCAGACATCAGTTGTATCGGGGAAGTATATGTCCCGGAGTCGAAATTGCGTGCGCTACCTGCGAATCCCTAACGCACAGAATTCTTTAATTAGGAATTTCAGCTGTCGGAATTCCGTAAGAGAACCAAATTTTAACCGTCAGTCTAACTTTTCGAAGTTCAGAAAAAAATCGTTCGGCACAGTAATTGAAAGAGCCCTGAAATTAAAAGACATTTATGTGATTAACTCACTATGCTCACTTTAATTTTGATGAGTTACAGAGAAGGAAAACTGTCATTATATGCGCATTTATTGTGACTTTTATCTGGCCGAATATACTAATAAAGAAAAACAAGCTTGATTCATTCATGATTTATGAAATCATGATTTATGAAATCATGTTTTTACAACTGTTCGTGCTTATTGAATTGCTCAATGATATTGTCTTTGGAACAACACTCAAAAAATATCATTACCATGCTAATCCTGCAACTATGAAATTGCAAATGACATGGACAAGATGGGTAGATGGCCCAGCTTTACAATTATTACAATTATCTGTGTAAGCTAATTACAAAAACAAATAGTGATATATTCCTTATTGATTACCTTATGATATTTATAATTAATTGTAGCTGTAATCTTCAAAATAACAGGACTAGGAGGATTCTACTCCAAGTGTAGTACCACTATTTCTCCAGTTCCACAGCTAGATATGCGATCACTCTACAGTTTCACAAGATTGAAACTGTTGCAACGTGTTTTCATACAGTACTAATACTACTTGCATTATCATACTGAGCTGAGCGCGTGTTTTATCGGAATTTGACCGTTATAACTTGACCTTGCGTGGACAGTAGCTTTAAACTTAAGGTTGGAGCATGCCAACAATGCACAATTGATCAACTAACTATTTAGTTAATACTTTTAGCATGGCATCTTATTCCGAATGTTTGTACTTATATTAGAAGGAAAGTTTTAAATAATATCGGGTTGTCGCGGAAATCTCTCCTACTGCATGAGCAAGGTTTGTTAAAATATGTTATCCAGCAAATTCAATCCACGAAAATTTGGACAACATTTACAACTAGAGTACGTTTAATAAGCTTGATGCAGGTGAAAGAGTTGTTCAATTAAAAAATGTTGTATTTGCTAGTTGGCTACAGAACATTGATCATATTGATTATTGATGACTGAAGTTGATTCTTAGTTTCTGATTGAAATCGTTGTGTAAATTTTAACATGCAGTCAAACCATTCTATAGTAGGCCTCTCGGGGAAACAAAAAGCTCACAGCCGCGGTATATAAAACCCCGATATACAGCTTTATATGCTCCCAGTGTATGTAATCTCTCAAACTACCTGTCAAGCGTCTCACATATCCCATTAGGGCCTTATATTTTTATATGCACGTATGGTCATGGATTACAGGATTACAGCTCGACAATCGACATGTTCTAAAATCACCACCAATTAATGTGATCGGAGCTATAATAGATCACAGTTATTGCACAAAACTATAGCTAATTAACTAAACGTTTGTGAGAAAAGAAGAGGCCCGGTATATCGAGGTACCCGGTATATAATAGAGAGGCACGGTATATAAAAGTATAAAGGTTTGGCTGTATTCACTATAGTTATCTATAGTGAATACAGTCAAACCTTTACAGTCAAACCCTTTTTATATATACGAAACGTAGAAAGACAAATAATGTGTAATGATTCAAATAATATCATAATCATTCAACGTGGTAAAATATATTTTACATAACATTTTAATCTATTTTCAGCTAAGGATGGCTCCTGCTGCAGATGGCTGTTGCCATCATTCCCAATCCTCCAAAGAGCTAAGAGGGAAGATTCTGAAAGCATTTTTATATGACTCAAAACACAAATCTTTCCAAGACCTCAAAGACGGAGCCTTCTCCATAAAGGATCACCTCAAAGATCACAAAAATGTGGATGCAACCGTGAAGGAGCTAAAAATCGCTGCCAAACCAGATTTCAGCGTGTTCATAGAGGAGGACATGCGAGAAATTCAAAGAATTTCCGACCAGTTACAGAGAAAACCAATTAACAATGTGATTAACGCATTTCGTTACCTCAGGACAGCCTGTCCTAACAGCACGTTTGTTGATCATCTAGCCAGAGTGACCTTCCAGAACCACCCAGCCAGTAGAAACGTCCCCCTTCCAGCTCCACACCAAATTATGCCTTTTACTTTCTTCAAGAGGGGTAAGGTAGTGGCCGCTCAAAGGAGCATTCCAGGGGTAGATAACCTGGTGTTGGAATTAACCGACCCGAATAAAATGCTCCAAGACGGGGATATCCTGCCTACAAGTGCAAAGTTTGACAAAGAAAGAAGGATTGCTTGGTGGAGGGAAGACCTCGGGATGCTGACCCATCATTACAATTGGCACATAGCTTATCCGTACCCACCCAAACAGCCTCGAGATCGTCAGGGCGAACTGTTTGGCTACATGCACGAGCAAATGTTGGCTCGATACGATTTTGAGAGAATAGCCGTGGGCCTCAACCGTGTACAACCGTACGGACCGGGATTTGGTTGGGATAAACCACTGGTTGAAGGGTTCAACTCACAGTTAGCCATGTGTTCAGTGAGAGGAGCCAATAGCAACCTTTCATCAAGTAATACTTACTACATAGGCAAAGGAGTACCAAACACAATCTCCCTTGATGACATGAAGAGGTATAAAGATAGGATCTCCTCAGCAATAGCAGTTGGTTTCCTTTACAAGGATGCCCAAAACAAAGTTATGCTAGATCTTAAAGATGGCATGAACCATCTCGGGAACACCATGCAAGCTAACCAAGGGTCGGTTAACAAGACCCTGTACGGGAACCTACACAACAATGGTCATGTGATCCTGGGTAGGATCAACGACCCTTCAGGAATGTACCAGATACCACCAGGGCCCATGAACTATGACCAGGCTGCACCACGAGATCCCGTCTTCTTCCGCTGGCACAAGTTCATTGATAATCTGTTTGAGGAGCACCGCTCAAATCTACCTTATCAAAACGTTCAGGATTTGGTTTTCGATGGTATTAGCATCGAATCTTTCTCTGTTAAACTGGAGCCATCCGAGGACGACAAAGAAAAACTTGAGAAATCTAAAGTTTTTTCGGAAACAGAAAACCATTTTTATACCCACATGGAAAATAAATGGTACAAGATCTACAACTCCAACGCAACTGAAGAGGGTGGTGATTCTGACTACTCATCTGCGAGTGTGTCCCAAAAAGCTCTCAACCACATACCCTTCAGCTACGAAATAAAAGTAAAGAACGACAACAAGCACGAACAGAACATAGTTTTCAGAATCTTCCTGGCACCAGAAATAGACGAGGGAGGACCCCTGGATCACTCGAGGACCATGTTCGTGGAACTTGATAAATTCGTGGTGAGCGTTAAAAAAGGGACAAAAACGATAAAAAGGCAAGATAACCAGTCATCTGTGATTCTGAACCCTCAACCAACGGTAGAAGACATCGCTACCAAAGACGGGCCTTTGAGGGGAGATTGCATGTGTGGCTGGCCGCTGAACCTTCTAGTACCAAGAGGGACCGCAGCTGGGATGAGAGGAAATATTTACGTTATGGCAAGTGACTGGAATAAAGATGGTCAGGACCCTTATTCGGGAATGGAGGGGAGTGCCTCGTATTGTGGTAAGCAGGGTGCTAAATATCCTGATAAGAGACCGATGGGGTTCCCTTTTGATAGGCTGGTGGTTAATAGGGATGGTAGCTCTCCTGTTGGAACTTTGGGAGAGTTTGTTGAAGCTGTTCCGAACAGTTTTAGTGAGAAAGTAACCATCACATTCCTTGATAAATGGCCGATTCAGGAAAAAAGGGAGGATGCTAAGAGAGCAAGCCGTCAAAGAGACCGTCAAAAGGGCGAGTGAAACAATCAAAAAACTGCGTCATCGTTCATTTTAGAGTTAAGGTTGCATATTTACGAATAAAAGCTGAGATGATATAAAGACGAACGACATTCTGGCAGTGTTTTTAGTTTTGAGACACAACAGAAAGTCAGCAACGCGGACTGTTGAACTGTTGAACTGGAAGTATATTGAGAGTTAGTTTAGAGGAACATTTGTAAAATCATATTTCTAGACGGATGATCTGATCAAAACTTATTTATCAAAACTTATTTATAAATCATTATGTGCTATAAAACATTTTTGTATCCTTGTTTCTTTCATGTGTACAAATTTAAATCTGATATATTTCTTTATGTGAATCTTGATAGCAGTAGCTCAGTAGAGGCCATTGCCACCTGCCACCTAATTTGGCAGGTTTTACATTAAGGCTGATAATCAATTTGAAGTCTTAAAACGATTCCCGCAAAATTAACCAAAATCCTGCCTATTTATCGTATTTGCGCAGAGATGTATTTCACGTAAATATTTAATCGAGTTGTTCAGTTATAGAAAAGCCTGCAAAATAAAGACAAAACCTGCCTCACCTTTCACCTACTCTCAGCAGGTTTGCTGGTTTGCTGATCGTATAACCTTATCAAGTAGTAGGTTAGTGGGTATAATTTGATCAATAAAATTTCATAATATCAGTATGACGTAGATGTGTCGATACGTGATTTAACTATTTATGTTCATTAGAAGTAAAACATTGTCATCACTGAGTCTATTAAAAAAAAATAGAAATTTTCTTGAAAGAATTTTTCAACTATCTTTTGGTACTTCAAATTTTTTTGAAAATACCATACTCATAACTTTAAAAAGCCTTTGCTGGTTTAACTACAAAAAAGTACAAAAAGAGTATACAAAAGTACATGCTGTATATATAACTAGCTAATTGATAAATAACCTTCGTATCCACACACATGTAACAAAGTCTGGCAACTGCAATTCTTAAATGTTAATCGTGTTTAAAAAAACAGATTGTCTTCTCGTACATATTATAATGGCACAGGTAACAAAGTTACTGTATTACAGTTGCACCTCATTCCTTGGTATCTCTTTTTTTCCTAGTGTAGTTCGTGAAATATCTTGTATATGCCTGATGGTTAGCTTTCTTAAGTTAAAATATCCTTGTTTTAATGAATTTGACAGTTTAATTAAGCCCGCAGTAACCTCAATAGTTAACTAAAATATTACTATGATAAAGTAGGAATCCCACGTGAAGGAATCCCAGATGACAAGTCAATGTTACCTCAAGGAAATAAATCATTGTGTCGATACGAGTCTGGTTTGATCTGAACATACTTTAATTCTTATGAGTTGACATTTTGCAACGAGTTTGTTAATCAATAAAATATAAGGTTTAAAACAATTCTGAATGAAACTAAAAATACTTAACTTCTCACACTTTTATCAATCCTAAAATATCTTATTTAAATTTTTAAAGCTTATGAGAAGTTAATATCATTAAAAATAATATTACTGCCCATCATGGTTTCTCATGCAACATCAAGTAGTGCTGACTGTTGAGTGACAAAGCCCCCAACCTTGCTCCGTTTTAACCACCTAACCACCTATGAAACCTTCACTCGCAGCACAGGCACTCAGCAGCATCTCACTTTAAACTTCTAAAAGAGGAATTGTATATTACATTGTATATTACATATTTTTCCTCGGTATTTTGATCCTGGTAATTTTTCGCATGATATTAGCATCATTATAAGAATTTGCATCACCGAGGCTGGTATGTAACTTGACTGTAGTGGTATACGATCGTTTGTACGACTTCCCCTTACCTAGATTGTACATGTCGTGTGTGATGATTGTACGTATAATACATGACAGACAACTGTAATGTATTTTGTAGTTTGTAGTAGATATTGTAATCGTTTGCTCTTGTAACTCTTGTAACTCTTGTAACTCTTGTAACTCTTGTAACTCTTGTAACTCTTGTAACTCTGATTACTTGTATTATCTTGTTACATTTATACATATTGTAACGCTTTCTTATACCCCTGTAGCTTTGATTATACATTATACATGGCATACATCAGTATCCTGTATTTACCCATCCCACATTGTGTAGTGTGTACCAAACTTTATATTTATCTCGTAATCCGTCATGATATCATTTGTAAAGGAAGCGTTAAAACTGGACACAACTGCAGAGTGACAGCACTTATTCTGATTTTGAGAAGTTGATGATTTCTTATAACGTGTTTGTTGTTTACAACTCCTTGTATCATTCTTGATAATCGCCGGTATATCGTACATAATATTTGTATAACCTTATAACGTGATTAGAAACCATTGTCAGATCATTAGTGGTTATTTGAAGTTATCATTAGGTAACAAATATCACTGGGAACCGCATAATATCATTGTTGATCGAATATGTAATAAATACACGAGGATATTTTACATTTCAAAGTATCTGAGCCATGATTTTATTTTATACATAATATTTCTCGCCCTGAGATTGCATCTGAGCAGTAGGGCCATGATTTATTCGCCTTAGTTTATAAGTTTATACATTATATTTCAGGCCCTGAGATTGTCAGTTCATTTCTAACAATCAGGCATAAGAATATAAAAATACCTATTGAAATTTCCGATGGTTTCCACAGATTTTTAGAAATAGCAAATCAGCAACAAATTCATGATTATTATAGCTCAGGGTTTTGGCTGTAAGTCTTGTAAGTCTTGTAACTCTTGTAACTCTTGTAACTCATGTAACTTAAGTTACACATGTTACTTATTGCATTATTGTAATTTTGTGTGTTTTCTTATCACGTGGTATCGTTTATTGCAACGATCAAAACCAAATTTTACACTTTTTAACATTGTAATTTATATTGAAACGTGCATTTAAAACTGAGAAAAAATATTTTATCCATCGCAAACAATTTTGAAATTAAAATTATTCCCAAGAAATAAATATTTGATATTTAAATTTGATTATAATATTTTGGTATAATATACTGTTCTTCCGATTGTTACTAATTTTGATTTCTGAAATCGTTTCTAATTATCCCGAGAATATAATTTATTGCCTATAGCTAACGTGAAATTTGTCTTTGTCATATTTTACTCGTTTAACAAAGATAATGAACGTATTACCTGATATTGCCTTATCTATTTGCCATCTAATCTATGAATTAAAAGTACCCTTTTGATCATGATTAACTTTTGTGTTTTACAATACAACAATTGCTTGCACGTTTATTTGCTATCGATATTATAGCATATAATAAACGACAATAAAAATCCATTGTTGAAGTGGAATTTTAAACCATTGTCCAAACCAACCAGCACCAAAATAACGCGTCACTCCATTTTCCAATCTCGGGATCTTCATGCACATTCTAGAGCACAATCTAGAGCACAGTATTTGAGCATTTTCAACGTCGCGAAGCACTCCATTTTCACTCCATTTTCCAATCTCAGGATCTTCATGCACATTCTAGAGCACAACATTTGAGCATTTTCAGCGTCTTGGAGCACGCTACTGTTACGGATCTAATTTTATAGTTCGTGGGTTGAGTTTTAATGTGAGGCAATCTGTTATATTAATTAGGTTAGTGAAGGCCCAATAAAATCACTTGTAGCCGCTGGTGGAGATAGAGTTGCTCTGTTACATTTTATAAAAGCTGCACATTTTTACGTTTTTCTCGAGACGTCGATGCAGTTGGTGTTGAATATTCTTTTTGTGCGTTTTGTTCTGGAATTTAGCTTAAGGTTGTATCTATTTGTGGAGTAAGTAACATTATCAACATTTCGCAACGTTACAATTGAAAGTAAATTATTTGACAGACTAACGTCTAACCTTTACTTGATTTTAGTTAAAATTAAATACGAAATAGTTCCCGTTTTTATTGTCTATTTGGCATTGTACACCGTTTATTACCTTTGCTAAAGGTTTTTAAAGGTATTATTCATCAATGACACGTTTATTTTGAGAGGTGTGGAGCATGATGAAGTAGATTATGTAAAGGAACTCAGCAGTCACCTCAAGATCTCCTAAAATGAATATAACATTCTTAGTTATTTTTCTTCTGCACAACACTTTAGGTAATTATTATTATGCATATGGTAATAAAATTTAACTAACAAAACTACAGGTTATAAACAGCATTGTGTTAATGATAATCATATATTTAAAGTTTTCCTTATTTCTGTGAAACAAATCTCTTGAAATTTTTAATCAATTAGTTAATTAATTAGTCTATAATCAATTACTTGTTACAGTTAAGGGAGGAGTATACCCGTACGTTTCCTACAATGGGATGTACAACAATCCTTCTAATCTTGACTGGGGTAGTGCAGGTCAGGCTCCCTTTTTATTGAATACTTTTCAAATTTTACAGATTACAGCAATGAAGTTATAAAATTAAACATTCAGTTTCACCAATCCTGTGAGGACGAAATAATTCTTCAAATAGTTTTTGTTAATCTCCTTAACATTTCTAATAATTAAATCCCGCCATTACTTTTTTCTACTCTCAGAAATACTTCCCTCATCCATTTCAAAAATGTTATTAAATTATTAAAAGATAATAACCGAAGCCAAAGCAAATTAATTTTCCTCGTCTCAGGATCACCTCTGTCTCAGCCGGTGCGACCTCACTACAGCGATGGAGCAAGTTCAACTAATTTCCCAAACCTGCCCTCCCCTCGTGACCTCAGTTTGGAGCTTTTTACCGAGGAGGTGGTGGTTCCCCTTTCTGAGAAATACACTGTTCTCCTGCCTTATTTTAGTAAGTGAGCTGTGCTTGGCAATGGACAGATGGACTCGTCACTCGAGTCTTGCCATGTGAAGATTTTGGAGTCTTGTAGAGTCTTAGTCAAAGTCGGGCAGAATCTTTAGTTAAATGGCTGCACGAAATTTAATAAGACTCTGTCGTAGCCTCGTTAAACTGGCAGACTTGGCGAAACTTGCTTCCCTGTGAAACGTCTTTTCGGGTTCAATGGACTCTGCTGCATTCAAATTTGAATGCCTTTAATTGAACTGAAATGCGACTATCATCCAATACATGATTTAACCCATAACCCCGTACAACTGCTCAGTGGAGTTCCTCGACCACGATATCCTGGAGCTGCGGACCACGTGTCCTCCCGAGGATATGAGTATCAGTATCAAGGAGACCGACCCTACCTACGGGAATAAAACCCATAAGAAGATGCCAATTGAAAGGATAAGCTACGATGTAGACAGTGGTGTTTGGGCTGACTTCCCGAGGAAACAGGTTAGTTTTAATGTGTGTTGTCAAACACAAGGAAATATTTTGTGTTCTTAGGTAGATAGATATGCTAATTGGAAGAAGGTTCCTCAAGATCTGTCTGTGAACAACAACCATTATCGGAGCTTTAAGCTTGTCAGATGTCATTGCTTTTGAAGAATGAAACAATTTGCTGTGCCATAGGATAAATTATTTTGTTGTTGTTGTTTCAATCAGTAGTCATATGTTAATGCTTTTCAAACAAAGTTACAACGAATTCTTCATGTAGTGCATCCTGGGTTTGGACAGGATATGCCCGTTGAAAATATTTCAATCACGTTACATCACATAATTCTCAATAAATGTAATAGATTTGTAGTGTTGTAATTAATTTAAAACTATTATTGATTATCAATTAATAATAATTAATATGTATTATTACAGATTAATTCGGTGTCTTCGTGGATTGATGGTAGCCAGGTGTACGGAATCAGTAAGGGATGGGTTGACATAATCAGATCTGGTGAGTTTGTAACTGGTTGGTGATTCTTTTATCATCATCTTAGACTTACCTAACTAATAGCAATTGCCATAATAGCGACAAGAGAAACGCCATCGTCGGACGTGAGGAGAGTGAAGACTCTTCAAACAACTTTAAATATATTCCTTCTGTAACGTCCTCAATAAATGTAATAGATTTATAGCGTTGTAATTAGTTTAAAACTTTAAAATATGACAGCAGCTCGGGATGTGAAAGTCATCCATCAAGACTTTCATCATTTATCAAACTAATTAGTAACTCATGAGTAGCCGTGAAATGTATACAATATCTAATGTATAGTATAATAGTAATGTATAATATAAATGAAATGTATTTTCACAGGTAAGGGTGGTAAATTAAAGGGGGACACAGCAGGAAATCCAGCTAAGAACACGTGGGGTGTTCCGTTATCATCCTCTCTGAAGCCTCACAACTGCGAGTATCCGGACATCAAACAGCTCCATCGTCAGTAATCAAACTTATTAACTTAACTTACATTATATAAAAATATTATATTGCATAAATATCATATTATATAATAATCATATTATATAATAATCATGTTATATAATAATTATATATAATTATTATATAGAATCATAATCATAATATTATATAATTTAATCATATTAAACTTATATAAAGTCTTAGTTGCTTTATTCTCACTCCCGATTCAGTGTTCGGTGACGGGCGCAGTAACGAGAACCCCGGTGTTTACTCCCTGCACTGGCTATTCTTTAATGAACACAATCTGATTGCGGAGGAGCTGGGGAATGACACTCGCTACAGGAACATGAATGATAAGTGGTTATTTGATAAAAGCAGGTATCTCACCATTGCTAAGTTACAGGTATGTTTCTTCTTCGGTTTATCAATTTAAACGTTGTGAATTAAAACTTAAAAGGGACACCATAGTTTTTGATAAATTAATAATTTGATAAGTTAATAATTTGATAAGTTAATAATTTCTACTCACAATAGTGCAATAATTTCAAAAATAATAGGTGCAATGACTGCTAAGGTTCATGTACAAGACTGGGATTAGTTGTTTAAGTTTTATACACGATTCCAGCAAACAATCAGACTTTATTTCATTAGCACGAAACTAAAAAGCCTTATCTTAAAGCCTTAAACAAGACACTTGTACGTTTAATCTCCAGATATATGCACCAAGAAGCCGTTAATCGACAATACAAATTCTCAGAAAATATCAGTTGACGCGGTAATAAGTATAATTGGACCGGGGTTTATACCCGAGTATATGGGGTACAGAGCAACTGCGAACCCCGCTGTAAGCTTCTTGTACGCAGGAGCTGTCAAGTTCTTCTTTCTTACCATGAGTAAGTTAAAAATATTGTTGCAAATGAAGTTGTTAATAGGAGTTGTGCTAATGGTTATTTGAAAGTAGAGAAAGGGGAGCTTTATGGCTCTTACTAATTCGCTCGCCCAAAAATTTGGGCGAGCGATTTAGTAGGAGCGGAGCTTTATACCGATAGTCGAAATTCGACATCTAGCGCTAGATAGCGTCTGTAATTATCGTCAAATAGCGTCAAATAGCGTCATCTAGCGCTAAATGTCGAATTTCAACTATCGGTAAAGCTTCGAGAAATGAACCATTTTCCCAATATGGACATGGTTGTGTAATAACATACGTACTAATTACAACTAGGATAATGAATTAACAATATAAATAGAAGCAATCAATACTGTACCCAAGTCCCAACTTAAAGTTTTATGACCTTTCAAGTGCTTGCTCTGTAGTGTTGTCACTGCTCTGTAGTTTTTACCGACTGCTAAGAAACTTAACTCAGTGTCAGATATCATCTACGTGAGCAATCCTACCAACTGCACCCTGGCTGACGAGAATGTTAGACTCTGCAACACTTACTGGGACGCGCAGGTTAGGGAGATATTATCTGAGGAACTGTTATCTTTACTTGTTAGAACATATTTCAAAGTTACAGTTTAAGTTTATTTTACTGTTCCCCCCTCCCCTCCCCCCCCCCCCCCCCCCAAACCATGGATAACTTGAATAATAAAAGTCATTGCTAGTTAATCAGGTTTTTGGGTACCGGGCCATCCTGGTTACCCTGCTATGGGCCGTTCCCCTGGCTTCTGCAGGTCTAGTTTACCCATATATATATATATATATATATAAAAGTCATTATTAACTACCCTGAAGGTGGCTGTCAAGAAACACGGACCAGCAGCTGTACTGAGGGGACTCTCTTATCAGCCGGCTGGTAACGTAGATATGCACGTGGTGAACGACATCAGGTTTCCAGATAAAATATCTTATCTTCGGGTATAGGACGCAGCGGCGGAAGTCACTGCGGCGGTGTACCGTCCGGCGGTGTACCGTCCTGCGGCGGTGTACCGTCCTCCGCCGGACTGTACACCGCCGCAGTGACTTCCGCCGCAGTGACCGGTTCCCCTTATCTTCAATGAAGATACATTGTGAAAATTCTTTAACTTCTTATCTTAACTTTATCTATCTTATCCATTTCCATAATTTAATTAAACGTAATATAACTAATTTTCTAATATCTTTTCCTTTTAGTAGTATCTTCTTATCACCCACAGGTCAAACTATTACGGTCCTATGCACTGGACACGCCGAGACGGGATAGCTACAGCGATACAAAGAGGTAGAGATCTGGGGGTGCCGCCCCTGAACTCTGTGCTCAACCACTACAACGAACCAGCTATGACGTGGAGGGAATGGGGGACTGTAGTCAACCAGGAGGTGATTAGGTTGCATAGGATGTTGAAATAAGGAACGTTTAGATATAAACTGAAAATGGTTGAAAGTGAAAGCTTCGATAATTTGCGTTCACGTTATGATTGCCATAATTGACCAATTTATCGCCAATTTGATGGTCACATTCAGATGGCGACAATGTATACTTTGAGGTTTCACAACCAACTACTTGTTTTGCATGACATTAAACTGTACCTTGAATTGTCAGCCATTGTACGACCCAAATTACCACTAAATGAACCTTTTTATTACCGGGGACTACGGGACTGTCTTACCCAACAAAAACAACTAACACTCCTTGCAGACTCTCACAGCACTGAAGAACTTATACAAGAACGATGTGGATCAAGTTGAGCTGTTTGTCGGAGGAATGCTGCTAAGCACGCACAGTGGGGATATGGCTAATATCTTCAAGAAAATACTGGCTGAGCAGATTATCAGGCTTAGAGAGGGTGACAGGTAGGTTGGTGGAAGCTGGTAGAAAGGCAATCAAATCATTTAGCCCATCCAAAAAGGATTCAATTGTATATCTCTCACGGTTTTTGGGGAAAATCGTGTTAAAGTCATAAATCGTACTCTCGCTTTATATATGGTAAGATATAAATAGACTTATTGTTTTACAGCGAATAAATTAATACTTCTCAGCTACCGATTATCAAGAATTAATTTGTCCTGTCTAGATTCTGGTTTGAGAATAAGTATAATGGTTTGGGTTGCACTGGAGAAGAGGTTAACACCATCAGAGCAACATCTCTTCGCCACATTCTTACTCGAAACAAGGTAAGTATATCTCAGTGCTTGTAAATTAGCTGTTATTGAGCTGAATTTTGGCAGACGCTCGATACACTTTTAGTAAATTTGGACGCCATCTTGCTAGAAGAAAACAATAATGGATATCCCTTACAGGTTGATATATCAGATCTAACTAATGATAATGTGTTTTTGCTGAACAGACTCTCCGATGATTGCAAACTCGACCAAGACTCCACTAAACTTTCAAAATGTGAAGGTGAGAAATATCCAAAAATTCATAATTCCATGATGCCAAAAAACAAAATACTTAATTGTAAGATCTATAAACTGAAAGAGGCAATCCAGTGCTGTTTCTACTTCGTGTACCTGCGGAGACCGATACACCCTTAAGCTGCGACCCCTCCCTCTATATTGCATATGAGGGGTCATATTAGGGGTCGTATATTACAAAATTACAAATCTGTTCCTCCTCCAGGTGACATGTTACTCCACTACGATTACAACACCACTCCGTATGCAATCCCCCTCCTGGTTCCAGTATTCCTCATTTTCACGATGGTTCTGGCTGTCGTCATAACACGCATGGTCCATGCCAGATCTCGACCTGCTAAGGTATACAAGTACACTGTACATATTGTATAAAGTACTACGGTATAAAGTATAATAAAGTATAATATATAATGTATAAAGTACTAAGGTATAAAGTATGATACTAAGGTATAAAGTACTAAGGTATCCAAGTATAATAAAGTATAATAAAGTATAACAAAGTATAATAAAGTATAGTAAAATATAATAAAGTATAGTTAAGTATAATAAAGTATAATACCAAGATATAAAGTACTTTATACTAAGGTATAAAGTATATAAAGTACACTGTACAGATTGCTCAATATTTCTATTTCCAATATTTCAGCGTTCAAATAATTTAATATCTCAAGTATAGCTCAATGGTTTTGTATTATTACTAAAGAAATTTATAATAGATCGAACCGATTTATGTATTTTTCAAAAAGCTCAAAGCTTGAAATATAAATCTAATAAGATATTAGAAAATAACCCAGGAAGAGGAAACAGACCCAGAAGCTCTGAAACTGGGGAAAATAACTGAACTTGGGTCGAAAGAGGGGGATCGTAGTGTAAAGTTACGGTTTGATGATATTGCAGGATCTTTAGTCATGAGCTCCAAAGGTATGGTGACTGCCTTATGACAGTGTGAGACTATATTATCTTACTGCTAATTGCTAAATGAGCGGAGGATTATTTTTGGTTTCTACAGAATTAAGATGCTCAGTAGTCAGTATTTATTTTTCTGATTTATATAAGATTGACAATCTTGTAAGTCAAAATCATAATCATAATCATATATGTATACTCAGGGAAAAAAGTCCGGAGTATTCCCTTCAAGAAATTAAACACAATTCCTGTAGTGTCCTGTTCCGATAACAGACTTTTGTTACTCATTAGTATTCCTAAGGTAAATTATGAAGGACCTTGTGATGGTAAGTTTATGATCATGATAGCATAAATTTTAATATCATTATTTTTTTAACGATGTTATGTAAGATCTCATGAGTTTTCGGTATTCTAATAAACTACGATATTTATATAAATTATGTTACTTGTAGAGGGTAAAACTTTCGTAAAAAGTTGTGAAATTCTCTTAAAAAGTTAAATTACTATAAACAAAATTACGACCATATTTTCATGTTTTCTTGGGTCAATTTCTATTGATCCCGTTTGATGTGACAAGGAAAAGGCCCTTATCAGGAAAGGAATTATTGAACATTTCAATGTGACAACATCGTATTCATGATCTCAGAATTACGACCATATTTTCAGGAGTACGATATTATGTTAAAGTTTAGCTCAGTTCGTCAAAAGGAAATAGCACTGGAAGAGCTCACCGCCTTCAGTGACCGCTGTAATGTAAGTTTAGTTAGAGTTTAGTTAGAGTTTAGTTAGAGTTTAGTTAGAGTTTAGTTAGAGTTTGATTATAGTTTAGTTAGAGTTTACTAGAGTTTAGTTAGAGTTCAATTAGACTTTAGCAAAAGTTTATTTAGAGTTTAACTAGAGTTTAGCAAAAGTTTAATTAGATTTTAACTAGAATTTAGTTAGTTATTGGTTAGAGTTTAGTCAGAGTTTAGTTAGAGTTTATTCATTAGAAGAATAATTCGCAAAGCTATAAATAAGATTAATTAAATTGCAGGTAGAGATTGATAACCAGCTGCTAACTAAAAAACAAATGATGAAAGTGGCAAAAACAGAAAAGCACAGACAACATTTGGTGGACACATTCCTATCTTCTGGTAGGCAAACAAATCAAAAAATTCCGGCATTCGGTTCGGAAACCATTATTCACCTTTATCCATGTTTCATTCAATACAAACATATTCTGCTATTATTAAACTACATCCACCTGACTGTTTCAGTGTTCTCCGAGATGATGCAAGGAGAAAATGGGGTGTCGGGAAATGGTGAAGTTAGTGCGAACGACAAAGTTGAGAGACTCAACTTCAAAGGTACGTGATATCATGTAGATTTTAGGAATCTTCTGTCAACATTTTAACTTGTAAAGTTTTGTTTTATTTTCTGGGTTGGCTGCTGAATTTTCGTCTTTCTAAAATTATTCTTCATTTACTAGGTTAGCCGGAATGACTCTAAGATTAGATAGCTGACAAAAATTCCCAATAACATTTTAAATACAGTTGATCCAGTCTCACCTACATATCAGATAGGTGTAATTGTCACCGGGGTATAAAAACAAACAAAAGTCTCAAATACCCAGCACTATAACACTGAGCGTATTGTTTCAGGAGTAGGAAGTCACGTGCTAGAATGTGAACTGACACGGACTGAGTTTGCCAGCGCTCTCGGACTCAGACCGGATCAGGAGTTTGTGGAGAAGGTGTTCCCTCTGGTCGACAAAGACAAGAATGGCAGGTAGGAATATATTTGTATCTTAATTCCTATCAAGAGGTGCAGTTCGTTAATATTGAAACAATTTTTCTGGAATATTCATTCGAGAATTAGCTTTGCTTAGGTTGCATCACTGCTAGGAACCGACCGGATTGGGGTTTTGGCTGCCGGACCGGATTCAGCCGGATTTGGATCTCAAATCCGGCAAGCCGGATTTTGCCGGACCGGAACCGGTGGTTTCAGAGTGAAATAAAAGGCAGCCGGATTTTGCCGGATGTTGCCGGATGTTGCCGGAAAATTTCCTTCCTTTCCACGCCTAATCTTCATCGAGCACTTCTTGCAGCTTGCATAAGGGATCCCATTTTCTTCTGAGTAGAACAACCAGACGGACGATGTTTTAGATTTACTACTACTCGACTCGACTTAGGGTGGCTTCAACGTCCGAACAGATATAGTTTTTTTACAAATCTTCCTATCTACTACTAGACATTGCTTAAACAAGCAATATATACAGACACAATGTAACACGAGTAGACACGAGTCACGACACTAGACGAGTAATAATCAGAAATGATATCTAATTGGCATATGCTGGCAGACCCCTGATTGAGCGCGTTTGTGCGAATTCCCTTTTTTTCATGCAAGTCTGAGTATCATTGGGTGACCTGACTTACAACCAGAGGTGCTTAATAAGGTTGTTCGCAAGCAGGCATGGTCTAGTACAGTACTAATCACCGTCTGGCGTCTAGATCTGGGTCACATGATTGCAGTAATGAGCTAATTAAGTAGCTACCCAGACCCTGAACACGTGACCTTCACATTTCGTATTTCATAATCAGAAGATTAAATACTGCCAATTTTGCGATTATAGCCGGGGGCTAGCCCAGGGAGGTGGCCCAAAATATTTTCCGGTTTTTTCTACCTATCCCTCGATACACTATTCTGTATTCTGGACTCAAGGTTTCCCCCGGTAATGCGATCTCGGAAGGCAGGCCTCCCCTTTGCAACACGAGCTCGGAAGCTCTCGATACAGGAGGTACGTCTCGAGAACGACTCGGACCGAAAACTTCTAAGTTAAAATTTTTCGAAGTTTTTCAGAAAACCACTTTTTTCCACGATTCAGGCTACCCTGTTCATTATTAGCCGAAAATATTTTTTCGGTTTTTCGAAGTCCCCACCTACCCCTCGATACACAATTCTGGACTCAAGGTTTCCCCCGGTAATGCGATCTCGGAAGGCAGGCCTCCCCTTTGCAACACGAGCTCGGAAGCTCTCGATACAGGAGGTACGTCTCGAGAACGACTCGGACCGAAAACTTCTAAGTTAAAATTTTTCGAAGTTTTTCAGAAAACCACTTTTTTCCACGATTCAGGCTACCCTGTTCATTATTAGCCGAAAATATTTTTTCGGTTTTTCGAAGTCCCCACCTACCCCTCGATACACAATTCTGGACTCGAGGTTTCCCCTGGTAATGTGATCACGGAAGGCAGGCCTCCCCTTTGCAACACGAGCTCGGAAGCGGGAGCTCTCGATACAGGAGGTACGTCTCGAGAACGACTCGGACCGAAAACTTCTAAGTTAAAATTTTTTGAAGTTTTTCTGAAAACCACTTTTTTCCACGATTCAAGCTACCCTGTTCATTATTAGCCGAAAATATTTTTTTCGATTTTTCGAAGTCCCCACCTACCCCTCGATACACAATTCTGGACTCAAGGTTTCCCCCGGTAATGCGATCTCGGAAGGCAGGCCTCCCCTTTGCAACACGAGCTCGGAAGCTCTCGATACAGGAGGTACGTCTCGAGAACGACTCGGACCGAAAACTTCTAAGTTAAAATTTTTCGAAGTTTTTCTGAAAACCACTTTTTTCCACGATTCAGGCTACCCTGTTCATTATTAGCCGAAAATATTTTTTCGGTTTTTCGAAGTCCCCACCTACCCCTCGATACACAATTCTGGACTCGAGGTTTCCCCTGGTAATGTGATCACGGAAGGCAGGCCTCCCCTTTGCAACACGAGCTCGGAAGCGGGAGCTCTCGATACAGGAGGTACGTCTCGAGAACGACTCGGACCGAAAACTTCTAATAATACTTTCAACACTACTATATAACAAATAATTTTAGGCATGTACAATGGCATGACGGGCTAGGAAGTACAGCCGATCTCCTGGTATGCGGGTGCGCTGGGGTTCCTGAAGTTCGCCTCTGAGTTAGGCTCCTCTCGCCCAGTGCTTGCACTGGGCAACAACACCTTAAACACGATGTAAGTTTCTCTTTTACTTCTTTCTCATTGTTAGCTTATTTTGAATGTGAATTTTTACATCTCTGATATTGCCCCTCTTATCCTTACTCTAGCTATATTTTCACTGGCAAATTTAACTTTACTCCCGACCAGCAGTTTCATTACACATTTTCTCGTGCCATTTTCCTTCCAGGTCGTGTTTAGTGTTGTGGGAGGTTGCCTACTCTGAGGTGTTACGGATGGTTCCCTGGCAAACTTTGCTGCCAGACTCGACAATCTCTGACAACAATGATAAACCTTCAAGAGATTTTCGACTATGTCAAAGCTGCCTCAGTTGAGGATCTACGTCATATCCTTAACTCTGTTCAAAACGAGCTGCCAAAGCGTGAGGGAAAGGTGGACAATTTTGTGTTACATATAGAGGACTTCTGCGAGGATGAGGTTCTCCGTGATGCGGTATGGGTTGAATGTGAGTCCCTGCAGAAACTGAACACCGAGGGAAGACACAAGGCAACAACAGCTTGGTTGTGCTCACAGGATGCACCCTATATTTACACTGACACAAATCCAGTGCACCCACCACAGGATATCAGTGGTTTCCCTAATATCAAAAGACTCCTGAGTCTTGTAAACTCGAGTACGGAGATAACTGGACCTCTGGACTCATGTCTGGTCATCAAGTATGGAAACAACCAAGCGAGTACTTCAATACACAATGACGGTGAGAAACTAATGGACCAGGAGAAATCGATTTGCTCTTTCTCACTGGGATGTGAACGGACGCTTGAGTTTTACGAGGGCACAACTGGGAAACCTAATTGTGTCAAGACGATAAGGATGAAGAACAACAGTCTTGTTGTAATGCGGCCTGGGACACAGCAGAATCTGAGGCATGCTGTGCGAGCAGAGCCGGCCACAAAGGGAGAGCCCCCAAAGAAATCGGAGCAAGTAAGATACTCCCTGTCATTTCGAGCTATTGTGAAATCTGGTGGCCAAGTTAGCTCTCAGAATATCAGCACAGAGACTAGTACACCAGCTTCTGGCACCGAAGCCCAAGTACCTGCGCAAAGAGTCACGTTGGTTGCTGGAGACTCTTATGCTCAAAGATTGGACTCCGCAAAGCTGGGAAAAGGGAAAGTCACAGTCGTAAATGTTGCAGAAGGCGGAGCAAAAATGGACAAAGTCCAGAAACAGTTGGAGGACTACTGCACGGCACATCCTGATGTCCACGTTGAGAAGCTTCTGATCAGCGTAGGCACAAACGATATTAGGCGTGTGGGGGATAAAATTGGTACTTTGAGGGGACCAGTAAAGCAACTTTTTGGTAAGATAGGCCTATTATTTCCCAACTGTAAGGTATATGTTCAATCTCTATTGCCATTACCTTTACAGAATGATAACGATAAATTAACTAACAAGAGGGTAATGGATTTTAATAGGATTTTATACAATGAGTGTGTATTTAGGAGGTTCTTTTTCATGGATGTGTTTTATCCCTTTACAAAGTTTAAGAGAGCTCTAAGTGAGCCTGTTAAGAGATTTGATCCCTTATTTGAGAACAAAGGCATTCACCCCAATCCTCAGAAAGGTATGGGTGTGTTGGCCAGATTTTATATTCGTGCCATCCACAGTAGATATTTTAATCCTTATATCTATCAGTAGTTCTTTTGTGCTGTCTTCTGAACCTTGTTAAGCTAATGATATGCAGTTGTAGTCTGGCAAGTATACTCACCTGTAAAACACCATGATCGATTTAGTAACATACAGATTTAGAGTTGGAGTGTTTAGTGGAAATTCTTTTGCAAAATCCATCAAACATCAGAACCGTAGACGTGGTACAGGTAGTATTTTTGATTATTTAGACAGCTGCATTGATTCTCGCTTATTATTTTATATTTTTTATGTTATATTCATATGTCACTTTTCGCTAATCACTATCACATATGTCGGGGTAAGTGGGTTGGCTTTTTCTAGGGTCACTTATGATTGCCGAGCCTTTGTACCAACATACCCAGTTCCTAACTTGTGCCGATGCTTTACAGTTTATTTCTTTTTATATTTAGCAAATATGTATTATCTGAGGAATAATTACAGTTTCGATGGTTTATATAGATTTTGCCAGATTTCAATCCATAAAAACTTAAATTGCATATTTACTGGTAGAACCGGCAATACATTCACAGGATGCATAATTTGGTTGTTTTTGATGAATGGTTTTTTGATAGTTTTAGTAAACCCTGGAATTGTAAACCCAGGGCCGTCTCCCATAGGTGTTAGAGTTGGGAATGGTAATAAATTGAATGTTTACTTTCAGAATGTTCAAGGTCTCATCCCTTTTGGTGAACTGAACAATGCCCATCCAATGATTGATACCACTAAATGTCTTGAAGTGTCGACTTATCTTAATGAGGCTAAGATAGATATTGCAATATTTAACGAAACCTGGTTTAAGAGTTCTATTGCTGATAGTGAATTTCTGCACCCTGACAGATATAAGATATTTCGCTCTGATAGATCGAAGAAAACTCATCCACCAGATCCTTCTAATCCAACCCGGTTTAGGAGGAATGGTGGAGGGGTCATGATTGCAGTGAGAGCAGACCTTGATCTAACTTCAAAGGAAGTTCGTCTCAAGTATGGTGCAGAAATTCTTGCTGTGGAATTTAAGACCTCCACTGGAATTAAGTTTGTTGTATGCACATGTTATCGTGTTGGTACACTGGGCTCCGCAAATCATGAAAAAATTGTTGAGTCTTTGAAAACTCTTCTCAGAAGAAGAGGACTGAGTAAAGTCTTCATACTAGGAGATTTTAACCTGACCGGAGTTTCCTGGTCTACCCTGGCCAGCTCCTGTCCTATTGAGCAATCTTTTGTTGAATCTTTTGTTGATCTAGGCCTTCAACAATGTGTGTTAACACCTACCCACTGCAAAGGCAAAACACTTGACCTATTGCTCACAAACTCTGTGTCAAATATTAATGACCTAATGGTAGGTGAGAGAGATAGTGCTTGCAAGTCTGACCACTTCCCCATCAATTTTAAGATCAACGTTAAAGTTGGTAGGAAGAAGCCAGCCAGGCGTATGTGCTATAACTTTAAGACTGTGAACTGGGAGAGGCTAAACCATGAACTCCGACACACGAATTGGGATGCATTGCTCAATGGCACAGAACCTGAAATTGGATGGAAAAAATTTAAGGACAAACTTTTTAATGTCACAGATAAATTTGTTAAAAAATGCTCTGTCAAGACTGATGGCCAAAATCCATGGTTTGACTCGGAGTGTTATGATGCATGGCGTAAGAAAGTGAGATTACATAAAGAAAGGCATAAAAGTGATAGAGCTGAAATTGCATTCTCCCTTGCTAGGAAAAATTTCAAAAATGTGGTTGCTCAAAAAATGAGGGAAACATTAAATGAATCTGATGATAGTGCTTTAATAACAAAAAAATTTTGGTCCTATGTCAAATCGAAGACAGCTAGTCAGCGGATCCCTGAGTTTGTAAGCCACAAAGGCACTGTCCGCAACTGCCCTGAAGACCAGGCCAACCTATTTAATGACTTTTTCTTCGAGCAGTTCTCTGAGGTATCAACTTATGACATAGATATAGATTACTCTAATGATTGGCGCTTTGATATTGAATTTGACCACAGAAGGGTTCGCAAAATCCTTTCCAATATTAATGCTAATAAAGCTTATGGACCTGATGGTATCCATGGGAAACTTTTGAAAAACTGTGCGGTTGGGCTCGCATACCCTATATCAATACTTTTTCATTCATGCTACAACATTGGGACACTACCAAGGGAGTGGAAACTGGGGCACATTGTACCAATATTCAAGAAAGGGGATAAACATGAGGTTTCAAATTATAGGCCAATTTCTCTTACATGCCTAATCACAAAAGTTCTTGAACGCATAATAAGAGATGAGTTATTGGCACTTACTAATGGCATGATCAATGACAAACAGCATGGTTTCCGAGCTGAGAGATCTTGTGCAACTAATCTTGTAGGACTGTGCGACAGCCTAGCGCTCTCACTGAATGAAAATATGAGAACAGATGTAGTCTACTTTGATTTTGCCAAAGCATTTGACTCGGTTAACCATGATCTTATATTATTTAAGCTAAAGAGCAAATTTGGTATTGATGGGAGGCTACTGAAATTCATCACTGATTATCTAAGAGACAGGCAACAACAGGTCTTGATAAGTGGCAAGTTTTCTTCTATGAGAAACGCCCAGTCTGGTGTACCTCAAGGGTCAATTTTGGGACCATTGCTGTTCATTATGTTCATTGATGATATATCAGTGGGGATTTCACCAGGCACACAACTGTCACTGTATGCCGATGATACTAAAATTTTGCGTAAGATTGTTTCGGAGTCTGATATCCTGCGACTGCAGAAGGACATTGATTATCTCCATGACTGGTCACTTTCTAATAAAATGAGATTTCATCCCGACAAATGTAAGGTCCTCACCGTCGCAGGAAGGATATCCGAAACAGTTTCCCTCCTTAGTGTCCTACCACTCTTTAACTTTGTATACTCCATGGGAAGAATCACACTTGACTATGTTGATCATGAAAAGGATCTGGGTGTAATTGTGACATCAAATCTCGATTGGAAAGATCAGTGCTCCAAAGTCCTTTCTAAGGCAAACCAAAAATTAGGCATGGCGAGAAGAAATTGTTATTTTGTCCAAGACGTAAATCGTCATAGAGTACTGTATCTCACTTTAGTGAGGAGCCTATTTGAGCATTGCTCGGTTATATGGAGACCAGTCACAAAATCCCAGATAAGCAAGCTGGAGGGCCTCCAAAAGCGTGCTATTAAGTGGATTCTTCACGAGGAGTATATGAGTTATCCACCATCCACATACATTCAAAAATGCAGACAGCTGAAGATTATGCCGATTGAAGACCGCTTTGACTTCTTGGATCTCATCTTCTTCTTTAAAATTGTGAAGCAACATATACCTGTCACTTTACCCTCATATTTGCAACCATTTCAAGGCCACTCAAGGCTCAGAAATAGTCACATGGACTCTCTATGTTTTGTAAGCTCTATCTCACCTCGAGCAAGCTCCAACGCTTTTGCCAAGAATTTCTTCTATAGGACCCACACTAAGTGGAATCACATTCCTCTAGATATCCGTGAGATAGAGAGTATCACTGATTTTAAAAGTAAACTTTCCACTTACATGTGGGGGAAAATTATCCCGGTGGATTCGGACTCTGAACTTGACTATTCAATAGAAACAAATCCGTAAAATAGTTTATTCAAGATTATCTATTCTTGCTGTCTGCATTCACATATTTCTCAATTTCATCTCACAGCACAATATTTTATGAATTGATTGAATGGGTGTGTGATTTTGTTTAAAGTAACTTATTACAATTTTATAAGGGCCCATGCTTGTGCAGGAGCTGCATTTGCACTCAATATCTGTGTTTTGGTGACCCTCAGGTCCTTTGGTTACATACATTTTGTCCGAGACAATTTCAACTTTGACAATCCATGCTTAGAGGACAATATTATATTTAACTAATTCATTGTGTAAACTTGTATGTAATTGACTGATTTGAAAGATTTCAATAAAAAAAAAGTTAAAATTTTTCGAAGTTTTTCTGAAAACCACTTTTTTCCACGATTCAAGCTACCCTGTTCATTATTAGCCGAAAATATTTTTTCGATTTTTCGAAGTCCCCACCTACCCCTCGATACACAATTCTGGACTCAAGGTTTCCCCCGGTAATGCGATCTCGGAAGGCAGGCCTCCCCTTTGCAACACGAGCTCGGAAGCTCTCGATACAGGAGGTACGTCTCGAGAACGACTCGGACCGAAAACTTCTAAGTTAAAATTTTTCGAAGTTTTTCAGAAAACCACTTTTTTCCACGATTCAGGCTACCCTGTTCATTATTAGCCGAAAATATTTTTTCGGTTTTTCGAAGTCCCCACCTACCCCTCGATACACAATTCTGGACTCGAGGTTTCCCCTGGTAATGTGATCACGGAAGGCAGGCCTCCCCTTTGCAACACGAGCTCGGAAGCGGGAGCTCTCGATACAGGAGGTACGTCTCGAGAACGACTCGGACCGAAAACTTCTAAGTTAAAATTTTTCGAAGTTTTTCTGAAAACCACTTTTTTCCACGATTCAGGCTACCCTGTTCATTATTAGCCGAAAATATTTTTTCGATTTTTCGAAGTCCCCACCTACCCCTCGATACACAATTCTGGACTCGAGGTTTCCCCTGGTAATGTGATCACGGAAGGCAGGCCTCCCCTTTGCAACACGAGCTCGGAAGCGGGAGCTCTCGATACAGGAGGTACGTCTCGACAACGACTCGGACCGAAAACTTCTAAGTTAAAATTTTTCGAAGTTTTTCTGAAAACCACTTTTTTCCACGATTCAGGCTACCCTGTTCATTATTAGCCGAAAATATTTTTTCGGTTTTTCGAAGTCCGCGCCTAGCCCTCGATACACAATTCTGGACTCGAGGTTTCCCCCGGTAATGTGATCTTGGAAGGCAGGCCTCCCCTTTGCAACACGAGCTAGGAAGCGGGAGCTCTCGATACAGGAGGTACGTCTCGAGAACGACTCGGACCGAAAACTTCTAAGTTAAAATTTTTCGAAGTTTTTCTGAAAACCACTTTTTTCCACGATTCAGGCTACCCTGTTCATTATTAGCCGAAAATATTTTTTCGGTTTTTCGAAGTCCGCACCTACCCATCGATACACAATTCTGGACTCGAGGTTTCCCCCGGTAATGTGATCTTGGAAGGCAGGCCTCCCCTTTGCAACACGAGCTCGGAAGCGGGAGCTCTCGATACAGGAGGTACGTCTCGAGAACGACTCGGACCGAAAAACTTCTAAGTCAAAATTTTTTAAAAGTTTTTCTGAAAACCACTTTTTTCCACGATTCAGGCTACCCTGTTCATTATTAGCCGAAAATATTTTTTCGGTTTTTCGAAGTCCCCACCTACCCCTCGATACACAATTCTGGACTCGAGGTTTCCCCTGGTAATGTGATCACGGAAGGCAGGCCTCCCCTTTGCAACACGAGCTCGGAAGCGGGAGCTCTCGATACAGGAGGTACGTCTCGAGAACGACTCGGACCGAAAACTTCTAAGTTAAAATTTTTCGAAGTTTTTTTTTGGTAAAAAAAAACTGAAATCCGGCAAAAATCCGGCAAATTTTTTTCCAGCCGGAGCCGGAGCCGGAACCGGATTTTGAAGCCGGATATCCGGCCGGAACCGGATTCAGCTGGATTTCCGGTCGGTTCCTAATCACTGCTAAAAATAATAACTCATACGGATAACAGAATTTAGTGACTGTACTTGAGTTAACCAAAATGAGATACTCTGCTTCACTGATCGTTTTTCAGTATAAGCTTCAGAGAATTCCTGAGCTTCATGATCGTGTACTCGTCTGGTACATCAGACGATAAACTCAAGCTGATTTTCAACATGTACGACTACGATAAAAATGGTAATATTCATCAATAGATCTTCAAAGATATATAAGTAGGCAGTTTTCGAGATAACCGTGTAATTTAGATCAACTGATTCTTGATCAACTGCGTCATTTAAGTTAGTCTACATTGTTAATCAAGACGCATTGAAGTGTTAAATAAATAGTTTTCGAGATAACGTAATTGTTTAAATTAACTTATTTTAAAAATACATTATACAAGCTTCAAAAATAAACATTTTCTGAAAAACAAGTTCTGGAACCTTTGCAAAATAAATCGCGATACAGTTTAGTTATTTCTTCAACCTAAACACTTTAAGTTAAAATGAATTATACCATCCCAAAGGATCGCTCCATGTGGACGAGATAAAACAAATGATAACCTCCATGTTGCAGATGGTTTCTGCTTCTATAAAACCTGAGGAACTCTCTCGAATGATCCAATCCCTTTTAGATCAGGTTACCATCATGAGCTACAGATTGTTTAAGTTATAATATACGGCTCATTATCAATTGTAACATTATGTTATTGGGAGAAAACCCATGGACACACGGACACACGGACACACGGACACACGGACACACGGACACACGGACACACGGACACACGGACACACGGACACACGGACACACGGACACACAGACACACGGACACACAGACACCCGGAAACACGGACACACGGACACACGGACACACGGGCACACGGACACACGGACACACGGACACACGGACACACGGACACACGGACACACGGACGCTGTCTGCCTTCTCGCGCAATACATTTTATGCTTCGCCGGATATGCAGCGTCACAAGGATTACTAGTCACATGTTGTTATTCGTTTGGTAACGAAAAGTTATAAGTTAGCGACGATAGCGATCAGATTCTTTAAATTGTATTTTATTCATATTCATATTTTATTCATATTTTCCAATGGTATGTATAAAATGTTGTTGATATCCGATCTCCAGGCTGGATTGGGAGAGAAGAAAGAACTGACGTTTTTAGAATTCCAGACTGTCATGTCCGCTTACAGAAAGGATCTCGAAAAAGCACAACTTGAGGTAACCTTAAAAGTATTTTCTTCAATAAAGTTGTATAAATCATTCATATCTACCAAATATTCGTCATCTAGATATGATCTATTCCATGATAACAATAAAATTAATTACAGTAAGAAATGGGAGGAGTTAGAATAGTCCGTAAATAGTAGTTCAACTAATATTTACGGGCTATTCAAATTGCACTGTTTAAGCAAGCTAAAGACACACAAATCCTTCATGTTCGTTAGTATAACCGTGATTGTCCGTTAGGAATGATCTATTCCACCATAACATTATCTAACACAGGTGAAGGGAGGAGAACGACTCGGTAAATCGAACTTTAAACGAAAAGTGTTTACAGCGATGAGACCCCAGGGCAGAGAAATAAAGCGATACATTGAAAATCACAGGTGAGCTGATTGGTCGATAAACTATTTTATATCAACACGCTCCTCGGGCAAGGACAAAAGAAAATTGCGATTTTTAGGCCAAAAAACGATTCCGTACGTGCCGCGATTTCTTTTTGACTTTGTCCTCGGGGGAGGTAAATAGAAGATCCACAGTAAAAAGAGACCTGCTTTTGTAAAAGCGGTTCTAATCTTTCAGATTAATGTAAAATCCGGATCGGAACATTGTTTATGAGTCGCATAGTTGAAATGTTTCTTGGGTAAAATTTGTATTGATCCCGTCCGATGTTGTCACATTGAAACGTTGAATAATTCCTTTCCTCATAAAAGCCTTTTCCTTGTCGCATCGCACGGGATCAACACAAATTTTACCCAAGAAACTGTCAAACTAACTAAAGATCTATTGAAACCCTCAGATTGGAGATATTCTACTCAGTGATCTTCCTGCTGGTGGTATTTGTGTTGTTTTTGGAGAGGTTCATTACTTATTCTCGTTACAAGGACCACACTGGTTATCCTCAGTTACTTGGGTAAGCAAACAAAATTACACTCACCTTATCGGACGTTATTTGACCAGACATTTTGTGAACGGACATAATTACATTTTGAAAAGACATTAAAATGAACGCTCAAAGGCATTCATTTAATATATTTAATTTAACTACCTTGTCGGACTTTATTTGAACGGACATTAAAATGAACGCTAGGGCCTCCAGCGTCCAATTAATGTCCGTTCAAATAAAGTCCAATAAGGTATATCTTAGAGAGCTCATTTTGCTTGACGTACTTTGGGAGTTCATTAATCATTACCGGGGTCAAATGATTTGAAGTTTTTCCAGCGAATAGAAAAAAACCCTTCGGTTCTTTCTCTCAGTAGTGCAGAATAGTGATTCGACACCAATTAAAGTCTAGAAACCAATAACATATAGTACTACCTTACAAGACATATTTATGTGGATCATAATTCTGGGGATCGGAATTATGGGGGTACGAAAATATGGGGATTTTTTTCAGAAATCCCCAAATTTCGTACCCCAAATTAAATTGTCGCATTTTCACGATAAATTATTTCAGAGAAATCAAAATCAGTTATAGATGGAATTTTTGAAAATCGTGAAAAACTAAATTAATTAAAAATCATTCTCTTCGTTTAAATCGTCTTCATCGTCGTCTCTTTCACTGAAAAACCAGTATTTTCTATTCAGTAATTTTTATACTAAGTAACTTTCTATTTACCTGAGAAATGCGTATCCTTGTCTCAGAAAAAACGTAAAATAACTTATTTGACAAATTCACCTCAAATTAGCCCTATTTAAGCCAATTACATAAAAATAAATGTGTGGGATTTTGAAATGGCGGCCACAATTTTGGCAGTACGAAAATATGGGGATTTTTTCCAAAAATCCCCAAATTTCGTACCACATAAATATGTCTCGTAAGGTATCTTACTTAATACGTTAGAGTTTTCAAATCAGCCAGTCCAAATTTCTTAAATTTTCAGAACCCTTTAATTTGATTTCCAGGTACTCATTATCCTTGACTAGAGGATCCGCTGCTGTTTTGATGTTTACCTTCCCCCTCTTTCTCGTTCTTATGTGCAAGAATACTCTTACTCATCTAAGAGGTATATTAATTATTCAAGATCATATGAATTATTCAAAGTTGTATATTTTAAATTACAAGATACAGTTTGAATACGTTATCTTATCTTCGATCTGATTGTTGCAATACAAAATTACTAGCAATTACTTTTGGACTGGAGTATAGCAAGATTCTTCAATTTGGCAGATTGATCCAACGGGGCAGCGGTGAAGTTTGTTAAATCTGAACACCAAACCGTCCGGCGAATCTGCTAGGAAAACTACTCGGATCTACCGCGGACACATTATGATAATATTTTACAGATTATTCTTCATGTAACATTTTAAATGACTCCATCGTCAATTATAGGAACATTTATAAAGCGGTACATCCCCCTGGACGCTAACAGAACAGCCCATATCTACCTCGGCTGTGTAACCTTGCTTTTCATCCTCGTTCACTGTATCGGACACGGGTTTGTAACTTAATTGTTCATGCTTTATTGTGTTTTATTTTCACCACAGTCAGAATTTAGTTTTATTCTGAGATTCTATAGAGAAGACTTCCTAGTAACACTATTAGTGCATATAAACTATTCCTATTTTGCACCGTACTTCATAATATCAGAATTGCGAGCAAATTATGAGAACTCTTTTTTAGTATGATGTCTCAACCTTCCTTTTCAGGAATAATTTATATATAGTTACAACATTGCCTGGGTTACCAAATATGGTAGTAATATCATGGTAACTATAGTTACAACATTGCCTGGGTTACCAAATATGGTAATAATATCATGGTAACACTCCCATAAAAGATAATTTTCCCACCTCGTCAGGTACAATTTTTATATGATAACTACATTGTCTCCGGACCATTTGACGTGTTTGATGCCACGAACCTGGCTAGATGGACAGGGTCAGGCAACTGTTTTGGGGTTACTTTTCGGGACTATAACCGGTTTGAAATAATTTTTATAGATGATAACGTTATGATTGAAATGTTTTTTAAGTCGCTGTTAATGGTATCGATGAATTATGTATATCGACATTTTAAGCAAGGAATATTTTAAGTTTTCAATTATAAATCAATATTAGGACTCTCGAACTCATGATAATTGCTGCTCAGACTCAAGAGCTGCATTTGTTGAACTACCGTGTATGCGCTTCAATCATAACCCATTAACGTTCAATAGTTCCTGAGTCCCTGGCAGTATCCAAGTAGCCCGACATGGAATTAAACTTGAAATTACCAAGGAGAACACTAACGGACTCGTTTTGGCTATACATCAATTCATAAATAAGTTCATATATAAAACAAAAGCCGAATAAAACTATGGAAATAAAATCTTAAAATTTAACCGCGTTACAATATCACGAAGTGGAAATAAAATCAAATATAATAATTTAAATGCTAATAGAAATTCTGGATGTGTGCATAAAAGCAAGTCCAAGGAGATATGTTAAACTACATAAGGTGATGGGACGTTGAAGGAGATGAGTAGGGGACGTGAAGCGAGGATTAGGACTTAATCATAGGATTTCGAAGGTTTGAAGAGTCTGTTAGGTGGTGATTGCTAGGACTTCATAAGAGGTGATAACTAGGACTTCTTTTCAGGAGGATGTCGAAGGTGAAAGGATTCTGTGAGGTACTTTCCAAATTCAGTAGCATGGAATGAGTTCATGATGGCCCCATATTCTTTGAGCATTATGAGGCTTTTAAGGTTGTCTGAGAGGTTGGACCGGAGGGAGTTGTAGCTGGGGCATTCATTTATAACCTGGTCCTCGGTTTCAAGGATAGGTGTTTCAAAGAATGGTAGTTCTTCGAAGAACCGCATGACGTCGGTGTCTGAGGAGCAGCAAAAGCGACATGTTTTCAGTGCTGTGTTGTAGCGATCTCCAGTGTAGCGACCTTTCTCAATCCTCAGATCGTGACTGTTAGATCGAAGTTTTGCAATGTTAGCTCTTTTGACCCTGACATGTGTTCCCGAACATATTTAGGGTATAACCTATAGGGTTGGGGTTAGGGTAACCCTAACCTTAACCCCAATCTTAACCTTGTTCGAAAACACCTGTTCGGGAGCACATATGGATACTGCCCAGTTCCTTACTCTACCCTCGGTAACTTCCAACCTCCTTACCCTCAACTATATTGTAGGTTTACAATCTACCAGGACGCGCGCCGAGTTGGACTCGTCGACGGTTCCTATATATGGAACAGATATTTTACGAGTATCACCCGTTAACAACAATATCACCTCGTCAGGGATCACAGGGATACTACTAGTGCTAACCCTCCTGACAATGTACATCTGTGCTACACAATACGCTAGACGGTATCTTCACAGGTGGTTCTGGAGTACTCATATGCTCTATCCTGCTGTGCTGGGCCTCATGGTTCTGCACGGAGCAGGACGACTTCTTCAGGTTAGTGCCTAGTGGTTACCTTATATGGTTGTGATACCATGGTAACACTACCATATTTGGTATTGGGGCTATTTGTGCTTTATTTGTACCGTCATCATTGGAATTGCGGCACCGCTTAATTTGGTACTGTTGAAGTACCCAAGTCCTTCGTCTGTGTCACTTGAAAAACCACAGTAAATATTCTCATCTCCACAACAAATCACAACCGATCTGATTTCCATAGACAACTCAAACACATTAATGACACGAATTAATTAATTATAGATTAATAATTAACAAATGATAATATAATTGATAAGATAACCCTCCTCAGGAACCTACATTCCACTATTACTTGATAGGACCAGCCATTCTGTTTACTTTTGATAAACTGATCAGTGTTAGTCGTAAGAAAAGGGAAATTCCACTGATAGAAGCTAAAATCTTACCCAGTGAGGTAGGTACTAGTTGCATTGAATATCTCGAATGTTTTTATTGTAGACTCTAAAATTGAGACTTTAAAGAAGACTTGAACAGAACACTCTACAAGGAATTCGAGTTTTTGGATTTAACTAAGAATCTTGAACCGATTTAATTTGATAAATTCATAATTCTTATATTCAGATCATGATAATTAAACTTCCCACATAATATCTACAGATCATATTGACCATATGACGTCATCACACTGACCATATGACGTCATCAGACTTAATATCTTCAGACTTATGTTAACAGGTAACAAATCTGGTGTTCAAGAGACCAGTTGATTTCCACTACCTGGCGGGACAGTACGTTAATATAGCTCTAGTTAACAGTGGTACAGGGCGTGACGAGTATCATCCCTTCACCCTTACATCAGGTAACAGATGTGCACAGGGGGGGGGGGGGCTCCAAGCGTTAGGCGGTGGCACAAAAAGGAGGCCTGACCTTTTCTTTTTTTGAGTTGAGGACATTAAAGAAGTTTTAGGGGCGAAACAAAGCTACATCTCGTCACTGCCCCTCCGAAAGTTATTTTGCAAAACAATATGTGTCCGTTAATCGAGAGGACACTAACCCTGTTAACTCTATATACTAACCCTGATTCTCCAACCCAGCGCCCCATGAAGACTACCTATCAGTCCATATTAGGACACTGAAAGGGTGGACTAAAGTACTCCGGGACCTGGCCATTAAAAACGAGAAGAACCCCGAGAGGAACCCTAACTTGTTTGTGGACGGTCCGTTCGGTGAGGCTCACCAGGACTACTCCAACTACGAGGTATAGCTTTATAGGTCCAACTACGAGGTATAGCTTTATAGGTCCAACTACGAGGTATAGCTTTATAGGTCTAACTACGAGGTATAGCTTTATAGCTCCAACTACGAGGTATAGCTTTATAGCTCCAACTACGAGGTATAGCTTTATAGGTCCAACTACGAGGTATAGCTTTATAGCTCCAACTACGAGGTATAGCTTTATAGCTCCAACTACGAGGTATAGCTTTATAGGTCTAACTACGAGGTATAGCTTTATAGCTCCAACTACGAGGTATAGCTTTATAGGTCCAACTACGAGGTATAGCTTTATAGGTCCAACTACGAGGTATAGCTTTATAGGTCCAACTACAATGTATAGCTTTATAGGTCCAACTACGAGGTATAGCTTTATAGGTCTAACTACGAGGTATAGCTTTATAGGTCTAACTACGAGGTATAGCTTTATAGGTCTAACTACGAGGTATAGCTTTATAGCTCCAACTACGAGGTATAGCTTTATAGGTTTAACTACGAGGTATAGCTTTATAGGTCTAACTACGAGGTATAGCTTTATAGGTCTAACTACGAGGTATAGCTTTATACTTATAGCTCCAACTACGAGGTATAGCTTTATAGGTCTAACTACGAGGTATAGCTTTATAGGTCTAACTACGAGGTATAGCTTTATAGCTCCAACTACGAGGTATAGCTTTATAGGTCTAACTACGAGGTATAGCTTTATAGGTCTAACTACGAGGTATAGCTTTATAGGTCTAACTACGAGGTATAGCTTTATAGGTCTAACTACGAGGTATAGCTTTATAGCTCCAACTACGAGGTATAGCTTTATAGGTCTAACTACGAGGTATAGCTTTATAGCTCCAACTACGAGGTATAGCTTTATAGGTCCAACTACGAGGTATAGCCTTATAGGTCTAACTACGAGGTATAGCTTTATAGGTCTAACTACGAGGTATAGCTTTATAGGTCTAACTACGAGGTATAGCTTTATAGCTCCAACTACGAGGTATAGCTTTATAGGTCTAACTACGAGGTATAGCTTTATAGCTCCAACTACGAGGTATAGCTTTATAGGTCTAACTACGAGGTATAGCTTTATAGGTCTAACTACGAGGTATAGCTTTATAGGTCTAACTACGAGGTATAGCTTGATAGGTCCAACTACGAGGTATAGCTTTATAGCTCCAACTACGAGGTATAGCTTTATAGGTCCAACTACGAGGTATAGCTTTATAGGTCTAACTACGAGGTATAGCTTTATAGGTCCAACTACGAGGTATATCTTTATAGGTCTAACTACGAGGTATAGCTTTATAGCTCCAACTACGAGGTATAGCTTTATAGCTCCAACTACGAGGTATAGCTTTATAGGTCTAACTACGAGGTATAGCTTTATAGGTCTAACTACGAGGTATAGTTTTATAGGTCTAACTACGAGGTATATCTTTATAGGTCTAACTACGAGGTATAGCTTTATAGGTCTAACTACGAGGTATAGCTTTATAGGTCCAACTACGAGGTATAGCTTTATAGGTCTAACTACGAGGTATAGCGTTATAGCTCCAACTACGAGGTATAGCTTTATAGGTCTAACTACGAGGTATATCTTTATAGGTCTAACTACGAGGTATAAATCAAGAGGCTTGCATATAATGAACATATTGACACGGGTGCAGAGTTGAGTCTGTACGGAACCTAGTAGTTTCAGATCCTTGTTTAACTTGCCGTACAGCAAGGTCACTCACTACTTTAGCCCGGCGAGGCACATAACTCCCTCTACAACTCCATGACAAATGTTTCATATATACTAGCCGAGTTCACAAGTTATATCCTTGTGTTTGAGAAGAGCTCGTTAGAACCTGGAAAGGCTGCCTAGACTAGAGATTTTTAATATGCAGGTATACGACTTTACCACTCTGTATACCAATTTAGACCTTCAGGTTGTACAGTCACTGCTTTTCGAGCTAATAGATCTCCTCTTTAGTAATACGAATAAATTTATTTGTGTTTCTCTGTATAAGAACAACAATTTTTTCTCTAAAAAGGAATATAACGGAGACTTATGTTTTTCTGCTGATAAACTCAAAACAGCTATTACATTTATTCTGTTTAACACTTTTGTTTGTTTTGGGGATCAGATTTTAAGACAAACGAAAGGCATTCCCATGGGAGGGAATTCTAGTAGCCAGTTCGCTGATCTTTCGCTAGGGAAGTGTGAATTCAACTACATGACACGCCTAATCAAAGAAAAGAAGTTCGGTCTAGCTAAGCTCCTCTCAAGAAACTGCAGATATGTTGACGACCTCAACACCATGAACTATTTGCATTTCTCTAACCTAATCAGGTCCATTTATCCACCTGACCTGCTTATGGAGAGGAGTGGTGACGACAATAAGTCCGTAAACTATCTCGACATCAACATCTCGATGAATAACTCCGGACACGTCGCCACCAAGCTTTACAACAAACTTGATGACTTCAACTTTCCTGTGGTCATGTACACCTTTTCTAACAGTAATATTTCCTCTTCTGTTGGTTATAATGTTTTTTACGGTCAGGTCCTTCGTTACTCTTCCATTATCTCTGACCTTGATTCTTTTCTGTGTTCTACCAACACCCTTTATAGGACACTTCTTTCAAGATGTTATAATGACAGACTCCTGAAGAGTAAATTCAGAAAGCTTCTGAAAGACCGACCTAGTATTCTGTACAAATACAGTATACTTGATGTCAGCGACATCCTTGACATCACATTTAACGTGAACAGGTGATCACTGACGAGTGATTGCTAGGGGGTCTTGGCACATTAAACCGGTACAGGTATTAAACCCCCGAAACCGGTGTGCCAAGTCATCTGCTGATGATGTTCACATAACATTATTTCCTCTCTCCTTTATTCCTTCCGTCTTTTCTTAAACTTACAGTTCAGTTACTTTATTTCACCAGGTCTACCTAAGGATCAATTATTCTTTGGTGGGGTTTCACTTCTGGTATTGGCTTCATTCCCGTTCCTTTTCCTTATTCTTTATACTTATTTTTTATATAGTTTAATGAGACTGCTTCCTAACTTTATAGGTCTAACTACGAGGTATAACTTTATATGTCTAACTACGAGGTATAGCTTTATAGGTCTAACTACGAGGTATAGCTTTATAGGTCTAACTACGAGGTATAGCTTTATAGGTCTAACTACGAGGTATAGCTTTATAGGTTTAACTACGAGGTATAGCTTTATAGGTCTAACTACGAGGTATAGCTTTATAGGTCTAACTACGAGGTATAGCTTTATAGGTCTAACTACGAGGTATAGCTTTATAGCTCCAACTACGAGGTATAGCTTTATAGGTCTAACTACGAGGTATAGCTTTATAGGTCCAACTACGAGGTATAGCTTTATAGCTCCAACTACGAGGTATAGCTTTATAGGTCTAACTACGAGGTATAGCTTTATAGGTCTAACTACGAGGTATAGCTTTATAGGTCTAACTACGAGGTATAGCTTTATAGGTCTAACTACGAGGTATAGCTTTATAGGTCTAACTACGAGGTATAGCTTTATAGGTCTAACTACGAGGTATAGCTTTATAGGTCTAATTACGAGGTATAGCTTTATAGGTCTAACTACGAGGTATAGCTTGATAGGTCCAACTACGAGGTATAGCTTTATAGCTCCAACTACGAGGTATAGCTTTATAGGTCCAACTACGAGGTATAGCTTTATAGGTCTAACTACGAGGTATAGCTTTATAGGTCCAACTACGAGGTATATCTTTATAGGTCTAACTACGAGGTATAGCTTTATAGCTCCAACTACGAGGTATAGCTTTATAGGTCTAACTACGAGGTATAGCTTTATAGGTCGAACTACGAGGTATAGCTTTATAGGTCTAACTACGAGGTATAGCTTTATAGCTCCAACTACGAGGTATAGCTTTATAGGTCTAACTACGAGGTATAGCTTTATAGGTCTAACTACGAGGTATAAATCAAGAGGCTTGCATATAATGAACATATTGACACGGGTGCAGAGTTGAGTCTGTACGGAACCTAGCAGTTTCAGATCCTTGCTTAACTTGCCGTACAGCAAGGTCACTCACTACTTTAGCCCGGCGAGGCACATAACTCCCTCTACAACTCCATGACAAATGTTTCATATATACTAGCCGAGTTCACAAGTTATATCCTTGTGTTTGAGAAGAGCTCGTTAGAACTGCTTCCAAACTTTATAGGTCTAACTACGAGGTATAACTTTATAGGTCTAACTACGAGGTATAGCTTTATAGGTCTAACTACGAGGTATAGCTTTATAGGTCTAACTACGAGGTATAGCTTTATTGGTTTAACTACGAGGTATAGCTTTATAGGTCTAACTACGAGGTATAGCTTTATAGGTCTAACTACGAGGTATAGATTTATAGGTCTAACTACGAGGTATAGCTTTATAGGTCTAACTACGAGGTATAGCTTTATAGGTCTAACTACGAGGTATAGCTTTATAAGTCTAACTACGAGGTATAGCTTTATAGGTCTAACTACGAGGTATAGCTTTATAGGTCTAACTACGAGGTATAGCTTTATAGGTCTAACTACGAGGTATGGCTTTATAGGTCTAACTACGAGGTATAGCTTTATAGCTCCAACTACGAGGTATAGCTTTATAGGTCTAACTACGAGGTATAGCTTTATAGCTCCAACTACGAGGTATAGCTTTATAGGTCCAACTACGAGGTATAGCCTTATAGGTCTAACTACGAGGTATAGCTTTATAGGTCTAACTACGAGGTATAGCTTTATAGGTCTAACTACGAGGTATAGCTTTATAGCTCCAACTACGAGGTATAGCTTTATAGGTCTAACTACGAGGTATAGCTTTATAGCTCCAACTACGAGGTATAGCTTTATAGGTCTAACTACGAGGTATAGCTTTATAGGTCTAATTACGAGGTATAGCTTTATAGGTCTAACTACGAGGTATAGCTTTATAGGTCGAACTACGAGGTATAGCTTTATAGGTCTAACTACGAGGTATAGCTTTATAGCTCCAACTACGAGGTATAGCTTTATAGGTCTAACTACGAGGTATAGCTTTATAGGTCCAACTACGAGGTATAGCTTTATAGGTCTAACTACGAGGTATATCTTTATAGGTCTAACTACGAGGTATAGCTTTATATCTCCAACTACGAGGTATAGCCTTATAGGTCCAACTACGAGGTATAGCTTTATAGTTCTAACTACGAGGTATAGCTTTATAGCTCCAACTACGAGGTATAGCTTTATAGGTCTAACTACGAGGTATAGCTTTATAGGTCTAACTACGAGGTATAGCTTTATAGGTCTAACTACGAGGTATAGCTTTATAGGTCTAACTACGAGGTATAGCTTTAAAGGTCTAACTACGAGGTATAGTTTTATAGGTCTAACTACGAGGTATAGCTTTATAGCTCCAACTACGAGGTATAGCTTTATAGGTCTAACTACGAGGTATAGCTTTATAGCTCCAACTACGAGGTATAGCTTTATAGGTCTAACTACGAGGTATAGCTTTATAGGTCCAACTACGAGGTATAGCTTTATAGCTCCAACTACGAGGTATAGCTTTATAGGTCTAACTACGAGGTATAGCTTTATAGGTCCAACTACGAGGTATAGCTTTATAGGTCTAACTACGAGGTATAGCTTTATAGGTCTAACTACGAGGTATACTTATAGCTTTATAGGTCCAACTACGAGGTATAGCTTTAAAGTTCCAACTACGAGGAATAGCTTTATAGGTTTAACTACGAGGTATAGCTTTATAGGTCTAACTACGAGGTATAGCTTTATAGGTCTAACTACGAGGTATAGCTTTATAGGTCTAACTACGAGGTATAGCTTTATAGGTCCAACTACGAGGTATAGCTTTATAGGTCTAACTACGAGGTATAGCTTTATAGGTCTAACTACGAGGTATAGCTTTATAGGTCTCACTACGAGGTATAGTTTTATAGGTCCAACTACGAGGTATAGCTTTATAGGTCTAACTACGAGGTATAGCTTTATAGGTCCAACTACGAGGTATAGCTTTATAGGTCTAACTACGAGGTATAGCTTTATAGGTCCAACTACGAGGTATAGCTTTATAGGTCCAACTACGAGGTATAGCTTTATAGGTCCAACTACGAGGTATAGCTTTATAGGTCTCACTACGAGGTATAGCTTTATAGGTCTAACTACGAGGCATAGCTTTATAGGTCCAACTACGAGGTATAGCTTTATAGGTCCAACTACGAGGTATAGCTTTATAGCTCCAACTACGAGGTATAGCTTTATATAGGTCCAACTACGAGGTATAGCTTTATAGCTCCAACTACGAGGTATAGCTTTATAGGTCCAACTACGAGGTATAGCTTTATAGGTCTAACTACGAGGTATAGCTTTATAGGTCTAACTACGAGGTATAGCTTTATAGGTCTAACTACGAGGTATAGCTTTATAGGTCCAACTACGAGGTATAGCTTTATAGGTCTAACTACGAGGTATAGCTTTATATAGGTCCAACTACGAGTATAGCTTTATAAGTCCAACTACGAGGTATAGCTTTATAGGTCTAACTACGAGGTATAGCTTTATAGGTCCAACTACGAGGTATAGCTTTATAGGTCTAACTACGAGGTATAGCTTTATAGGTGTAACTACGAGGTATAGCTTTATAGGTCTAACTACGAGGTATAGCTTTATAGCTCCAACTACGAGGTATAGCTTTATAGGTCTCACTACGAGGTATAGCTTTATAGGTCTCACTACGAGGTATAGCTTTATAGGTCTAACTACGAGGTATAGCTTTATAGGTCCAACTACGAGGTATAGCTTTATAGGTCTAACTACGAGGTATAGCTTTATAGGTCCAACTACGAGGTATAGTTTTATAGCTCCAACTACGAGGTATAGCTTTATAGGTCCAACTACGAGGTATAGCTTTATAGGTCTAACTACGAGGTATAGCTTTATAGCTCCAACTACGAGGTATAGCTTTATAGGTCCAACTACGAGGTATAGCTTTATAGGTCTAACTACGAGGTATAACTTTATAGGTCTTACTACGAGGTATAGCTTTATAGCTCCAACTACGAGGTATAGCTTTATAGGTTCAACTACGAGGTATAGCTTTATAGGTCTAACTACGAGGAATAGCTTTATAGGTCCAACTACGAGGAATAGCTTTATAGGTCTAACTACGAGGTATAGCTTTATAGCTCCAACTACGAGGTATAGCTTTATAGGTCCAACTACGAGGTATAGCTTTATAGCTCCAACTACGAGGTATAGCTTTATAGGTCTAACTACGAGGTATAGCTTTATAACTCCAACTACGAGGTATAGCTTTATAGCTCCAACTACGAGGTATAGCTTTATAGGTCTAACTACGAGGTATAGCTTTATAGGTCCAACTACGAGGTATAGTTTTATAGGTCCAACTACGAGGTATAGCTTTATAGCTCCGACTACGAGGTATAGTTTTATAGCTCCAACTACGAGGTATAGCTTTATAGCTCCAACTACGAGGTATAGCTTTATAGCTCCAACTACGAGGTATAGCTTTTTAGCTCCAACTACGAGGTATAGCTTTATAGCTCCAACTACGAGGTATAGCTTTATAGGTCCAACTACGAGGTATAGCTTTATACTTATAGCTCCAACTACGAGGTATAGTTTTATAGGTCTAACTACGAGGTATAGCTTTATAACTCCAACTACGAGGTATAGCTTTATAGGTCCAACTACGAGGTATAGCTTTATAGCTCCAACTACGAGGTATAGCTTTATAGCTCCAAGTACGAGGTATAGCTTTATAGGTCTAACTACGAGGTATAGCCTTATAGGACGAGGTGTGTTGTACGTTTAGGTTTATAGGTCTGGATTGTGGCATGAAATTTGTTTTTACTTCTTTACTTACACATTTCATGATGGAAAAATGAACTTTTCGTCGAAAAAACCTAGCAAATATAAAATAATACCATCGTCAGGTAGTGATATTAGTTGGAGGAGGTATTGGAGTAACTCCGTTCGCTTCCATTTTAAAAGATCTCGTCCACAAAGCAACTTCCATGCAATCTTCTCTTTCCAAATTGAAGAAAGTGTATTTCCTGTGGTCGACGAGGACTCAGAAGCAGTTTGAGTGGCTTCTCGATATTATAGGTTTGATTTTTATTTTACAGCTCATGAACAAATCACAATGTTTCGGATAACTCCAAAAACAATCACAAAAGACTTTTATTTTGGCCCTTTTATAATTTCATCCCATATTTTTGACCATATGACGTCATCACACTAACCATATGACGTCATCATACTAACCATATGATGTCATCATACTAACCATATGACGTCATCATACTGACCATATGACGTCATCACTCTCTACTCAAGGTAAGTGTGAGCACGAAGACAGACGAGATATTCTGGATACACACATCTTCATAACGAGATTTTACGAGAAGAGTGACCTACGAACCACTATGTTGTACATCTGTGAGCGGCAGTTTCAGGACATATCTAACAGGTTTATTATTATAAAATTCTGAAAAATTTATTTTATTTTTATTTATATTGAACGCGGGATTACTGATGAACTGAATACTAAGCAAAATACTAGTTTGACGGTCCAACAAAAAAAAACAGCTGTAAGCTTCTGGTAATGATTTGTTTTAAAGTAACTGTAATCATCTTAACATTGTAAATTTGCTTTTGTCACTAAAAAGATTTTACTTATTTTCAGGTCTCTATTTACTGGCCTGAAAGCGGTCACACATTTCGGTCGGCCCAATTTTAGCAGTATATTTGATCACATAGCGCTTACACATCAGGTATTTTAATTTAATAACAATCAACAGATGTGGATTCTGGTGATGCGTGACAGCAATTGAGTAACTAATCTGCATGCATCATTCAAACCCCGGAATCACTACCGAGTGTAAAAACTTACGCTTCACCTCCCCACCAGAATCCACATCTATGAGAGGAAGATTATATTCTATAGTTATCTCAGTTTGAAGCATTTGTGTTTAATTTCGAGATAATTCATTATTGAAGCATTCCACCTGGGTCCTAAACGAAATTAATATTAATTTCATCACAATTATCAATAAATTAATAAGGTAAATAATTATATTTCCTCAGGACGTCCGCAAGTTTGGTGTATTCGTGTGCGGGTCCACCATCAATGTCAGACTCAGTTACACTGACTTGTAGTAAGATTACGGGAAAACAAACTTTTGTTGCTTATGCGGAGAACTTTTAATGAACTTTTGTACTTTTATAATGATTGGTATTTGGGTTGGGTAAAGGTTTGGATCCTGAATAATGGTAGAGAGGTGAGCCATTTGCTTTAAAATGTTGTTAATTTGATTTTTCATTTGTAATCGCAATAAGATGGTTTGTTATGTTATCAATTCCAGTTAAGATGGTTCTAAAAAGTTCGATTTGTTGGATTTGAATTGTATCTTTCAGAGGCGGCTATTGAGTAAATGAGGGCGTCCAGGCGTCTGTGGACGCCTTAAAATTATTATTTGGTGGCTGGTGCTTAAAATAGAAATAGTAATTAGTAATAGTGTTAGGAAATAACAAATCGCAATATAAAGGACTTCATTTACTATCATACGTTTTAATGTAAGCGCACGCATGATCTTCGTGAAATCTTGTGTTGTAGGGAGTCCAATCCTACCTCTGGACTACTCAGCCGCGCAGTTTTAACACATAGTTAATTGTAAACGTTACAAAGCACATCGTGCGCATCCCACTACAGGTAATCTATTATGATTTGCCTCGATTTGGGGGTCCAGGACCCTTTGCAATTTGACTGCTATATGATACTGCGCGGCTGAGATCGTACACGTGTGGTGTCCTGTTTCACCCATGTTATAAGTTTTTGTTTTTGTTTGCTGTCGCCTGTAAAGTGTTACACATTACATTTACAAGGCCCTGTGTGTAATGTAATCGGTAGTTTGGAGGGATCAGCTTGAGCCGGCTCCCAAGCCCCCCTCCCCCCCCCCAGTCCATCGATTGGACCCCCAACAAAACTGCCAGCCAGCTCCCACGAGCCGCCTCTGGTATCTTTAATTTCACGAAAATATTTAGAAGTTCATATCCCATCAGAGTTTTTATCCCAACAAGTGCCCTAAACCGTGTATCCTTAAAAGCTCAGCACCAACCCTTACCGGCCTGACGAAAAATACGGTCATTACAGATGTTTTACTTTTATAAGATTTTTTGTAAGAATTTTTGGTGATAAAAATAAAACTTCCTTAATTGATGCATTTCTAACATTCATAATCAGATTCATATAAATGGACAGCAAATGTAATATAGAAAAATATACGTTCAGGATTTAAGTATTTACTCTATGTACAAGGATATTTTCTACATTTCAAATAAAAGATTTCCAACATAAAACCAGGGTATAAAACTAAGATCTATACAGTAAACATGAAAAACAATTCAAAAATAAAATTCTTCAGTTGAAAATCTGCCGATTTCAAGCTTAGTCCGAAAAACGAACGGTTCAAAACGCAGTCCAGAACAATACTTCACATATTGTCCATCACACTTTGAAATAGTTCAAAAAGGTTCACACATTGAACATTCAAGTTAAACACTACCACACCGTTCGCTTATCCGTCGATCTCGTCCTCCATCTGGCTGATGACGTTGACACACTTGATCATGTCCTCAACCAGGTTGTACTCAGGATATCCCAGGCGTCTCCAGTTTGAAATATCCACACGGTCAATAACCTCGCTGTGTTCTCCGGTGCTTCCTCGAGCCTGGCAGTTCATAGACCTGGCTACCTTGTCGATACCTTCGAATCCGATCTTTGCGATCAGTTTTGGGATGATGATGTGGACGCTGCCTCTCATTCCAGTTCCAATGTTGGTGGGGCAACAGGTAATCATACCAAGAACGGGATGACTCATGTACACTTCGTCCCTTTTCGTTACCTCCTGAAGACCCTTCTCTACAGCAGCAGCTCCTCGGCCGAGCCTGTCGAAGACAGATGGGATATCACCACCTTGTTCCATGGATATGATTCTCAGATGATCACCCTCGTTCAGCCACATCAGGAACTTCTCATCCTTGCTTACAAAGATACCTCTGCCATGGGGCCAATCAGCGTGGTAACCACTAGCAGCCTGCATCTTATCCTTTCCCCTGAAGAGGAAATGCTTGTCAACCAGCTCTTTAATCTCATCTTCTGACATGGTGGTGTGTCTGTAGAACTTTCCAGCCAGATCTCCAGTGAAGGTGCTGAAGACTCCTTCCATAAGAGTGGAGATCTCCTCTCTGGATTCCTTGGTTCCGCAAGTGTTCAAGGGGAAGAAACTGAGGTTTCTTGCGCACCTGATTCTTGTGGAAATGATCTTCTTCTGGGCGTGATCAGAGAGTGCAGTTCCAATCTTGTTGACGTCCATATCGGTGACGTGCTTCATGGTCTCCATGTCGAAACCAACGTGGTACTTTTCTACAACACCCTTGAACAGGGCTCCAAACTCGGAGTAGCTCTCCATGTCTCCAGCGTGACATCCCAGGAAACTGTCTGGGTTGATTATTCCAGTGTTGATGGATCGGGCCAGGGTCCAGCCGTTCTTCGTCTTGTGGTCCTTGTACTTGTCCCAGACTTCCTTTGTCATGCACTGGGCCATGATGCTCTGCTTCTCCTGCTTCTGGTGCTCGTCCAAAGCTTTGGGGTACTCGTTCTTGGCCAGATCCTCGTCCAAGATCAGGTCGTAGTAGGGGTCGATAACCTTTGCCATAGCTGCCAATAATCTCCTAGACATGATGTTGCTATCAGCTGTAAGATACACTAACTCATTAGAAACATGCAACATGCACGTCACGACAACTGTAACAGTATAACCCACACATTAAAGACACATTCATATACTTACCTGAACAGTAAACACGTTACCCAAATGTCTTAAAAGCAATGATTTGGATCGTAAAATGTGCTTACAACCGACAGTCTATCCAAGTCATCGTTGATGCATAATCAGACCCTCTCATAACACCATGGGTATAGGACAATAGGGCGTAGGACAATAGGGCGTAGGACACAATAGGGAGTTACCTTTCCAAAAGGGTGGACACAAGGACGAATCACATGATTCATTTTAGCATCGACACGAACCAAAAACCGTCCTGCTAGATTCTGAAGACCAAGTTTGCACATGAACATCTAGCAGGGTTTAATTGGTCTAAGCACGTTACCAAATCTGCTGCTGAGTTGGCTGAGATATTTAAGGAAAATCTTTCAATTTTTGGCTCGTGTAAATCTGGGTGATTATTTAATTATTTAATTATTTATCATGTTTTGTTTCGAATTTATATGTGGGTAGACCCAATTCTTCGAACTAAGCTTTACGTCAACCTGACTGTTGAGAACATCAAAAAACCCGTTTGTCCATGTTAATGTGATCATGCAATTCCCCTCGTGTCCACCTTTTTAAGAAAGTACTGCCCCTTGCGCCCTACGCCCTCGTGTCCGGTTTCCATGACGCACCTCCTATTAGGTTTGGTCATTTAAATTTTTAACCCCAAATTTACTTGTTTGCATCCGGATAGTATTATTTTTGCACGGAAGAGAAAGGACTTTTTTTAATGCGGCCTGAAAACCCCCACTAAAGCCCGGTTTCATTAATAAAATTTTTTTTTAAAAATTTTTTTGTTCCCTGGGCCAAAAAAAGGGCCCTGACGTTTTCAAAATCAACTGTGGGTTTTTTCCTCGCCCCTAAAAATTAAAATATTTTTATTTTATTTTATTTTTAATATATTCTTCATACGGGCCCCCCTTTCTGATTTGAGAAAATCTACCCAATTTTTTTTTAAAAAAAGGGTGTTTAATCTTAGAAAATTAATAGCGTAATTTTGATGGAAAACAAAAAATTTAAAAAATTAAATTTGGGTTGATTATCTCAATCAAAATGATCTGGGTTCCAAATTACAATGGGGAAAAATTTCCCCTAAAATTTTTAAATCACCCCAAAAGAAAAAAACCCCCCCCATAAAGGGAAACTGTATCCTTTTTTTAAAATGAACCCCCCAATATATTTTAAAAACTTACATTGAAACTTTTTCAAAATTAAATTACTCATACAGGTCCGAAGTTAAATATAACGACTTTAAACTTAAACTTGCAGGACTTTTTTTAAAAATTTGTATGGGGAACCGTTACAAAGGGGCCCACAAAATGATGAGCCCCTAAAAAATCACAAATGATCAAAAAAAAAACCCCGGTGCAACCATTTGATCGAAAAAAACTTATCGGCCTTATGGCCCGGATTAATGTTTTACGGGGTTTGGAAGGGGAACACTGAATTTGAAAGCAATGCCGATTTTACACCGTTCAATCATTCTTTGCGATACAAGATCAAATAAAACCCCTGCAACAACAAAAAAAAGGGAACAATAGGAAATTTTTTTTCCAAAGGAAAAAATTTTTTTAAGTTTTTTTGGTCCAATTTTCACGGGCAGAAAATTTTAAACGATGAACCCGTTAAATTAAAAGTAAAATTTTGGGGGGTTGGCCCAAAATTTTAATTTCCCCCCAAAAAAGTTGGGCGTAAAGTTCTTTAGAAAAGGGGAAAAAGGTAAAAATTGGGGAAAGGGTTTTGTTCAGAAAAAAAAAAATTTTTACTCAAAAAGAATAAATTTAAATTTTTTTAAAATAAACCCTTTTTGGTCAAATTTCAAAGTAAAAAAGGTTTCAGTGCTAAAAATTTTATATTTTTTTTTTGGGGTTTAGAGGTGACAAAAAGGGGAACGAGGGGGGACCCCAAAATTAGACGATAGACGGTAAAAACCCCGGCCGTTTTTTTCCCCAAAATTTTTTTAGAACAGTTTTTTCCCAAACATTTTATGTCATAAAATTCGGGGTATTGAAATTTGAAACTATTTTAAACACTTGTAATTTTATTACACGCCAAACATTTTCATCAATCCCAAAAAACCCCCCCGTAAATGGGGTTGCCAACCAAAATTTAACGGCAAATAATTTTTTGCCAACACCTTTTTTTTAATTATCGCGGGGCGATAATTCTCGAAAAAAATTAAACCCAAATTTTTTTATGGGGGAAAATAGCCAAAGGGAAAAAACATATTTTCTAATCGGGTTTCTTTTTTTGTAAATTTAAACCCGACGGGCTACCATAATTTGCAATTGATGGTATCATGCTGAGGGGTGCTATGTGGGTCTGTATGTTTTAAATTTGGGGCAGGGAAAATTGAAATTGGGTTTTTAATCGCACCTTGATCTATTTATTTTAAGGTTAAGTAGGTAGCTTGGGGGTTTGTAGGAAAAAAGACGCGTCACCCTTTTGGGACAAGAGTCAGAATAGACCGCCATTTTCTCGAACCCTTTTTGATGGGGACACGTAGGGCAAGAGAAAAAATCTTAATTTCGTATGATCGCGGGTAAGGGTCACTGGGACCCCGGTATTCGGGGGGGGCAGAGTTTTATAAAGACTACCAAATTTTTTACTAAGTAAACCTTGAAACAATTTCAATTCTCTCAAAAACAATGGGCCTAGAGAACATTTGCCGAGGAAAAGGGGGCGGGTTAAAGGAAAATGCCAATTTCAATTGATTCTAAGAAAAGCATTAGGCGAAAAAGCACACGAAATAAAAATCAAAGTTTTCAAATTTTGGGGGGAAAAAAGGGTTGAATTTTAACCGATTTTTGGAAAAAAATTTTAAATTGATGAATTTTAAACTATAAAATGATGATGTAAAAAGGGTTTCCCAAAATTTTTTTGAAAAGTTTTCGAATATCCCCAAAAAAAAAATTGTCCCGAAAGGGGAAACCCAAAATCGTAAACAATAAAGTAAAATTTACATAAAAAACCAAAAAGATCAAAAAAACCAATTTTAAGAAGGGGAAGTTAATGTGACTCTCAAAAAATTGATTAATAAAATAAATTTCTTTTACATGATTTAAATTCAAGATCATAAACTCAATTTTCATAAAACCCCCCCCTCCCCCCTCCCCCCCCCCCCCCCCCCCCCCCCCAAAAACCCCCAAAAAACCCCCCCCCCCCCCCCCACCCCCTAAAAAAAATATAACAGCTAAACCCCAAAAAGTTCCCCTCCCCTAAAAAAAAAAACGAAAGAGGACCGGGCCAAAGGGGGGGCACCACCCGGTTGGGCAAAACATGGGGCAAACACCGAAAAAAAAAAAGTAAAAAAGTCCCGGACCCCCTTCACCCCAACCCCCAAAAACAACAAATGAAAGGTACTCGGGGGGGGGGTCCGGGGACAAACCCCGCCCAAAACTTTCCCGCACAACATATGCAATTTACACGAGTGGGGTCCGTGACAAAGCCCTGCCCACCTACCCCCGCACAACAATGCAAGACACGGTTTCCGTGACAAAGCCCTTTTCACACTACCCCCCGCCAACAATGAAAGGGACACGGGGTATTCCGTGAAAAAACCCCCCTGTCACATTTTCCCCCGCACAAAAAATAAAGTAACGGGTATCCGTGACAAACCCGGGGCAAAACTATCCGAACAACAAATGAAAAGACACGAGTATCCGGGAAACAAAGCCCTTTCCCCCCTACCCGGGGGCACAACATATGCAAGTAACACGATAGCCCGGGGGTGAAAAACCCCAAATAACGCACAGGCCCAAAACCGGACGGTGGCGAAACATATGGCGTCCTTGAAATTCCGAGAAATCCGTGACAAAGCCCTGTCAAAACTTTTCCCGCACAACAAGAAAAGTACACGAGAGCCCGTACAAAGCCCTGTCACCATCCCGCACAACATTTGCAAGTAAAACGATTTTTTTCCGTGACAAAGCCCGTCCCCTACCCGCACAATTTAGGGCAAGTACAGGAAAAGCCCCGTGACAAAGCCCGGGTCCAAAAATTTTCCCGCAAAACATATGCAAGTAAAACGGGGATTCCGTACAAACCCCCGGTCACCCCGTTCTCTTGTAGCCGGGGCCCCCCGTCGGGAAAACCCCGGGCCCCGGGGGGGCAAGTACAACGAGTGGGGCCCCGGGACAAACCCGCACACTATCTCGCACAACTATGCAAGTACACGAGTAGTCCGTGACAAAGCCCTGTCACACTATCCCGCACAACATATGCAAGTACACGAGTAGTCCGTGACAAAGCCCTGTCACACTATCTCGCACAACATATGCAAGTACACGAGTAGTCCGTGACAAAGCCCTGTCACACTATCTCGCACAACATATGCAAGTACACGAGTAGTCCGTGACAAAGCCCTGTCACACTATCTCGCACAACATATGCAAGTACACGAGTAGTCCGTGACAAAGCCCTGTCACACTATCTCGCACAACATATGCAAGTACACGAGTAGTCCGTGACAAAGCCCTGCCACACTATCTCGCACAACATATGCAAGTACACGAGTAGTCCGTGACAAAGCCCTGTCACACTATCTCGCACAACATATGCAAGTACACGAGTAGTCCGTGACAAAGCCCTGTCACACTATCTCGCACAACATATGCAAGTACACGAGTAGTCCGTGACAAAGCCCTGTCACACTATCCCGCACAACATATGGCAAGTACCACGAGTAGTCCGTGACAAAGCCCTGTCACACTATCTCGCACAACATATGCAAGTACACGAGATCTATCTCAGCACAATTCCACACACAGTCAACTTAATGTTGTACTACTTTCACGACGCCTGTCGCTTTTAAAAAAACGGCGAACAAAAGATCAATCCGCCAATGTTCATGCAGGTTCTGATAAAAAGGCATGATTGCGGTGGAGTTGCAGTGCCGGTATTCAGGAATGAATTTTCACTCCAGTCTGGATAGGTCTGATAGGTCTGACGCGG